GCCCTAAATTGGCACAGTCTTTGAACTCCAATCCAGGGGTATTTTTCCTCCATGGTAGCTCTCTACCAAAATGGCGTCACTTTGGCACAGTCTCACATTCTAAGAGGTTAGCATTTGTGTCAGGCAACCCAGCTCTGGTTACAAAGGGAGAAAACCTTCTCCAAGGGCATCCCTTTAAATCACGGAAATAGAACAAATCCAGATGTGATCGAGGTCTATCCCTTCGTACATGAGTGTGGCCCTGATGCATGTACAAAGGGGTGGGGTTTTGACTGCTCATTTTCTGCAGCCATCTTGGACATCCGAGGGACTTCCTGTTTTTGCCATTTTGCCACAACACACTAACAGTTCAATGCTGGATTGATCAGCTTGCCGACAGCATCGTATGTCCTCTAGGGTCACGTTTCATTTTTAAGCTCTGCAGGATGGGGAGAGGTTGAACCGAACTCTCTCTCTGGTGAGGATATGGCTGCCCAACTAACACTGGTAGTTGCTGCTTCAAACGCTTCCTGCCTTTAAAATGGGAATGGCAGGATTTAAAGAATGGTTCTTTCTCTGTGGCTTACAAATTGTTTATTTATTTATTTATTCATTTCCCACCTTTATTGTTTTTTATGAATAAATCAAGACAGGGAACATACTTATTAAATATTATTTTCTCCTCCTATTTTCGCCACAACAACAAATATGTAAGGTGAGATGGGCTGATAGCGAGTGACTGGTCCAAGGTCACCCAGTTAGCTTTCATGCCTAAGGCAGGACTAGAACTCACAGTCTCCTGGCTTCTAGCTTGGTGCCTTCACCAGTAGACCAATCTGGCTCTCTGGCATTGTATGATGCTGGGCCACCAGTTGTGCTTCCTTTGCCCTGTACTATATTGCCAGCTATGTAGATCCTTTGGCACTCTTGAAAGACCCAATGATGAGGGGCAACAAAACTTCAGCACCCCATAAAATACACCCATGGCTGTTCTTCTGAGTCCTGCTTAGAAGCTGCTCAGCCTGGCAGTCCATCAAAGCCTGTGAGGCAGGCAGGATGGAGGGGGGCAGGCTTACCAACCCGCTACACCAACCCTCTTGGTGCCCCAGAAGTAAGTGACCACATAAAGGGAATTCAAGATTGTACAGCGGGGGTCAGATCAAACCTGATATCCCAGCATAGCAAGACAGTTTTGGAAAAAATTCAACTTAATTTGATTTACAGCCAAAAGCCCAAAGTTTTAGAAAACCTATATAAATTGGAGTTCTCCCTCTTTTGGGGTGGGGTGGGGACATAGCTAGGCAATAGGAAAGCTGTTTGTTTCTCTTTTCTTTTAAAACCAAGATGGTATTTTCAAAAAAAAAAAAAATGATCGTGATAAAAACATTGAATGTAACTGGTTGGATTTCATCACGACTTTAATGTCTGCTATTTTCAGCCTATTCTGCCAAAAAAACAAAGCAATTTCAGTTACTTTGAATTTTCCCCCAATAGTCTATGGACAAATATGGAGAAAAATCTTGATGAGTCTCTCTTCCGTATGCAAATGAGCAATCTGTTCCAGAGGTGGAAGGGAAATGCTGCACTCACTGTAGCCTAAAAGGATGTTAGAGGATAAATTGAATTATCTTTTTCCACTTTAGCATACAGCATTAAATGGTCAACAATAGCATAATAATAAGATTTAGAATACGTATAGTCACATTTGTTTTTGTTAGTATTTGGTGGGCTAAATCTTGTAAGTGTGGTTTATTATGCTGGGGGGGGGATAAGTAAGATTATACTAGATGCAGTCTTTTGTAAATACTCTAAGAACAGCTTTATTTCTTCTGTTAGATTAGATCCCCTCAAATTTGTTTTACACCTTGAGAACATGAGCTCACAGTTTAACATTGGAGCAGGTCAAAATTGATAGTCCCTCTGGGAATACAGGCCACGGCTAACATCATCTCATGCTGCCAAAAATTGAAGCAGCCACAAAGGTTAGGATGCTTTCTTGTTAAGACTACAGACGATTTTTCTGAAACTATAATCTTTGTGCCCTCAGTCGTCAGGATTGAAAACATGCCTCCTCCTCCTCTTCCTTCACATTTCATGTCTTCAAATTGAAATGTGTTATGGCTGATTTTTGCAAAGCAGAAGGAACCAGATCATTCCCCTGCATGCAATTGAGCAGCCTGTTGCATCTCCAGGAGGGGTTGCTGGAAAGATGCTTGGAACGATGGGTAGGATCACTGGATAACTGAGGGGTTTCTTTAAGAGCATTTGCTGAGGACGTAGTATACAGTTCTTGGTTTTTGCTTATTAAATTCACTGTGTACTTTTTCAGTAGTAGTTTTACGCTTGGGATGGGATAGTTATTTGTTTTCTTGAGTTATAAATGACATCTAATTTTTGTAATGTATTTTGTCTTTTAATGACCCCTTAATTCCTTGCATCCGGGTGGAGTCGGGGCAACTGAATGGAGCTGAGTGTTTACTGGCCAGATGCCCTTCCTGTCACCAATGCAGAGTTCACAGCAGATATATTCTCATTGTGCCCAGAGAGAGAAATATCTGCCGCTACCGAGGATCAAACTCACAGCCTCCTGGTTATGAGGCGAGAGCTCCATTTCTAGGCCACTGCACCACTCTAATTTTTGTAATGTATGAGTAATTTATTTGTTTCTGCGTAAAAAGTTGGCCTGATAATCCTTTTCCAGACATCATTAAATATTCCTGGTGTTTCTGCAGGAAGTCCTGACTGGAAGAAAGTTTGTTTAATTCTATTTGAGAACAAGAGGCCATTTTAAGCCAGTTTTGTTCAGAGGAAATGGGTCATGTCGTAGTCTTTCTGGGGATAAAGTTTGTCGGTATGATTAAGCTGGACTCTATAAGTGTACTTTATAAGCAACCTTCATTTTGTGGCATTTGCAGTTATGTTGTTGAAAAAGTAGCTTTACAACACCTCACATTTATGATCTTCACAGATCCGTAAAGCAAATAAAAGTTGAGGTAAGATCAGAAACACAGTTGCAGTTTCACTTAATGACTGTTTTGCTTAATGACCAAGTTGCCAATCCCAATTATGATCACTAAACAAGACCTACCTATCTACCTCTGAAAGTAATACAGTGTATTGAATGGGAAACATTTGTCCGGTCTCAAATATTTAGTGAAGCAGTAGAGGTTGGAACTTTGGGAAGCCAATATTAAGCTTTACCTCGTTTATATACAAATCATCAACCAATTGCGGTAGTTGTTGCTGAGAAAATACCAAAGCCGATGTTGTCTGAAAGAAGAGCTGGAAAGAAAGTGGATTTTGGATCTTTTCTTCCTCCAGTCTATTTAGCTATCCCACTGTTTGAATAGATGGAAGATTTTATTTTTTTTTGGTCCCTGTACCCTAAAAGAAAGGTGGAGAAAGTATCAACAAGGGATGTTGGAAAAAGAAGATAATTAGTTGTTTTCTGCTTTGGGATCATATCTTAAATAGGGGTGGGGTTATTGCTGTTTGGAAAATGGCAGACTGTACCTTAATATCAGGGGTGGGCTCTACTTACCTTTACTACTGGTTCGCATTGTGCCTGCATGTGCTCTTCTGCGCATGCGCAGATTGCCTATGATGACATCTGGGTCAGTGGGTGGAGCCTCCTGCCAGTTTTATTACCGGTTCTTGTGAACTGGCCCAAACTGGTGGCAACCCACCACTGGTTAATGTACATAGAGATAGAGTGGCTTTTTGAAGATGCTTTGATTTCTGTAAGACTAAAATTGTGAACTTACTTTGTTAGCAAAGTGTAATAATTGGTAAAGTCAGGATAGGCCACAAAAGAAATGCAGAGCTGTATTTCTTCATGGCCCATGTGTTCATCTTATCCTCACAAAAATTAAAATAGCTGTAGGTGGTATGATGTTTCCTTAATTATACTCAATTGACTATTTTTTGAATGGAATCTTGAAGCAGGTTGATTGGAGTTTGGAATGGAGCCATGCCCTTTCAAATCACACATTTTTAATGTGAATCTAATTATAACAAATTTTAAAATGAATTTCAGTTGGGTGTATTTAATTGACTGCATATTGATCTTCAAGTTCTCATATCACCGTACTTACTCTAACACATCTTCTCTCCTTGCTGCCCCTAGGAAAGGGAACTGTAAAAAATGCATACAACCCACCCCCCAACCTTATTGAATATATGCAAATGCTGGCATTTAATTTGTTAGGGAAATCAGAAGAGTTTTAAGTCCTAAAATTGTAACTGCTTAAAACAGTGTGACTCCTACTGTCATCATCCCACAAAGATCTGAAATTCAAGAGCATATACATTTTCTTGTAGCCTTGGGAAAGTGTCTGCTTTTACAATGCAATCAGTGGTATATGGTAATGCATATAGGTAATGCATGTTATTGGATAATTGGCATTAAAAAGCATCCTTGTCAGTGTTGCTGTTTGAAATTATTTATTTATTTATTTATTTGATTTGTATACCGCCCTTCTACAACAGGACTCAGGGCGGTGAACAGCCATGGTAAAACATAACATATAAAATTTAAAAGCAATTTAAAAAACATTAAATAATTTTGGCTAATAATTAGAGCACTTTTTTAAAAAAAATCCATGCTGATTATTTTTCCTGCTTTGCTCTTTTTTTGAATAAGTCATCCTTTAATGCTGGTATGGAGTTACAGAAACAGATAATGTATGGATCCATTTTGTCAAACTGTCTAGTAATGTCATTTTATTTTTGCATTCTACGCTCATGCTATGAATTATGCCGCCCTCCGTGGATTCATGACTGATTTTTGAGCTATCAATACAGCTACTGTAGTTGGTAGTAAGACAATTCCAGTTGCTGTCCTATTTGCTCAGCCAATTTAGCCCATACATTTAAATTGATTCGCTGAAATGATAAACCTTAGAATTCCAAAATCATATCCTTCGCTTATATTTATTTAACCTCAAATAAAATGGGCTTTTCATGGGACTTGGCTCTTGAGATGTTTTGGTCCTGATTAAATTTTCTTCTTTTCTTCATAGGTTGCTGGATATCGAAAGTCAAATGATCTATTTTGCAACTTCCTATGCAGGGACAGGCTTTGCTGTTCTGGTGCTTGGATACCTCCAAGTCAGTATTTATTTCTAGTCCTTCATTTCCCAACCCACTCCAGAAAAGAAGTCAGTTATTTAACAGCCGAGGTTCATGACAATTCAAGACCCTATTAATATAACTGATTTGGAAATCAGTAGCACTTTCTATAGCACATAAGCCATTTTTCTACCATAGACTCCTGAAACAGGCAATTCCTATGTCACTGTTGATTTACATAAATGTTAAATAAGAAATATTAATCAACGTTAAGTCATACAACTGTGCAATAATACATAGTCTTCTTTTCTTCCCAGTTGTTACATACATGGACATTCTATGTCAGGGGTATCAAACTCAAGGCCTGTGGGCCGAATCTGGCCTGCAAAGTGCTTAGATCTGGCCCTCAGGTCACCCTGGAAACAGCAAAGGACTGGCCCACAGTGACTCTGCCAGTGAAAATGGAGCTCAGAAAGGCCACATGTGGCCCTCCCAGGCTCCGTTTTCGGCCACGACGGCCTCCTACAGCCCTCTGCCAGCAAAAATGGAACTTGGGGGACACAGCCCCCCTAGCTCTGTTTCACTAGCAGAGGGCTGCAGGAGACCATCGTGGCCAAAATGGGGCTCAGGGCAGCCACGCGTGCCCCAAGCTTTTTTTTCTCTGGCAGAGGGCTAGCAAAGCAAACTAAAAACAAAACAAAAGGAGAAATGCTTCTCATTTTGCATTTGAGCATGAAAGAAGGGACAGGAAAGGAGAAAGGGGAAGAGGAAAGATAAAGAAAAAGAAGGGAAGATGGGAAGAGAGCGAGGAAGGAAAATAAGGAAGGAGGGGAAAGAAGAAGGAAGGAGAATGAAGAGGGAAGGAAAAAGAAGAAAAGGAAGGAAGGAAGGAAGGAAGGAAGGAAGGAAGGAAGGAAGGAAGGAAGGAAGGAGATTATAATGAGAGTGAGGGAGGATCTGAGGGAAATCCTGCCTTAGCACTTGACCACCACAGGTGTCCCCGACACGAGTGATGTTGAGCTGGCCATGCCCACTCTGGCCACACCCACCCCAGCCACGCCTACCTCAGCCCCCCATGATGAAACACAACCCTGATGCGGCCCTCAATGAAATCAAGTTTGACACTTCTGTTCTATATGGACAAAATGATAGGCCATTATGGAAATAGGAACTATATGTCTTCTTGATCAGGGACAATTTTTTGTACTGCCTTGGAACTAATATTGGCTTTGGGGCTGGGCTGGCTGAATAAATATTCATTACTTATAAAACACAGGGATCTATTGCAAGCCAAAAGAGGTCCTTCAACACAATGTAGCTATGCAGTTGGGGGGGAAAAAGGCAAATTGAAAAGAAATAAGGTGATGAAGAAAAATGTTAAACATAGTTGGTCCTCATTGCAACTATGATTTATTTAATGAGCATTATGATATCACCGCAAAAATTGACTTACCACCAGTTACAAGATAATGGTAGCAGAAGGCATAAAATCAGCGCTAAAAATATTGAGGTTAAGATTGTTTTCCGTTTAGCATTGTGTTTCAGTAATCAAGAAAGGTTATCCATCTTCTAATAGTGTTTCTCCATCCCATCCCACCCTTTTTGTGTGTGTGTGTGTGTGTGTGTGTGTGTGTGTGTGTGTGTTAGATCTGCTTGTGGGTAATGTCAGCTGCTCGTCAGACCCAACAGATCCGAAAAGCCTATTTTAGGAAAATCATGAGGATGGACATCGGCTGGTTTGATTGTACATCAGTAGGGGAACTCAATACACGAATTTCTGAGTGAGTAACTCGAGATAGCCGCTGACGGGACTACATGCCAATAAACAGTCTCTGGAAAATCAGGGAAGGTTTAAAATTTTATTTCTACCAGCTTGATTCTCAGCTGCGTCAACCTGTCCACTGGACTGCCACAACTGTTATATCCCTAGCAAGCCTGCAAATGGCTTTTGTAACGTTGTTGTTGACAGAGCCAGCTCTGCCATTACCATCTGCTTGAGAGGCCCTGTTTCTTGCCATGCGAGAGCCAATATTTTGCAGGACTGTTGAGATGTCAATATAGTAATAAAAGTAGAGACAACCCCCCCTAGATCTGGCAAAAAGTGATCGAATCAAATGGAGCTAATCCAAGTATTTATTTATTTATTATTTATTTATTAATTCAATTTGTACGCCACCCCTCTCTGAAGACTCAGGGCGTAAGATAGCATTTAGATGTTTTGCTAGAAGGACAAAAAATATCTGAGGCGCGTCCATCTGGTCAGAAGAAGTATGATCCTTCCAACACCCCACCCCCCCCATCCTGTAAGAACTAATAGCCCCCACCAGCCTGCCAAACTGAGGAAGCTTCTTGGATGAGAACGTTTTCTTCCTCAAGAAAAAAACAACAAAGCACCTTTGAGACAACTGTGACCTGGATGACTGAGAATCTCCACAGACATCCATCTGGCCAGCCATTTTTCACAAGCTGCATGAGTATCTGCACAAATTTTATTTTCCCTATCTTGGCCTTGTTAAGAAGAATTTCTGCAAAAGGTCCAACCAATTGTCAGATACAAGGGCGTGGGATGAAAAATAGAAGCCTACATTTCATAGCGTGTAGAATCCCGGTGGGAAAATTCCAGCAGGGCAAAAATACTTGGAAATATAAGACCCTCTGCCTGCACCAAGTTTACGGTTAATCTTACATACAGGAAATAAACTCCCCAGATAAAAGAGTGATCAAATGAATAATTACCACCATAAATCATTCTCACGCACATTTCCCCCATGTGGAAAAAGGAGCAATGATGTTTTTGTGCACATTGGGAATTGTAACGAAGGCAAAATGTATCTGCTGCTTCAACTTTTCTTGTTCTCCACAGTGACATTAATAAAATAAATGATGCTATTGCTGATCAAGTCGCAATCTTTATCCAGCGCTTCACCACCTTTGTTTGTGGATTCCTGCTAGGATTTGTCAGAGGCTGGAAGTTAACCTTGGTTATTATCGCAGTCAGTCCTCTAATTGGGATCGGAGCTGGCATAATTGGCCTGGTACGGAAGAATGTCATGCCTATTGAAAGAGGGTTCCCTGAGCTTAAATAAAGGGACTTGGGGATATGGGGGAGGAGATTCCCCCCAATTGAGGGAAGTTGGGGGAAGATTTTCAAGTTATGGACTATTTCAGGAACTGCCTCCATCATATTTTTTGCTACTGCTTTTTTTCTTTTTTTAAAAAAAAAGTTAGAAGCCATTTCTTTGGCACACTTTCCCAGCAGTAATTTCTGTTAGGTTCTTGTCAAACCAAGGTTTGCCATTGCTTTATTCCGGAGAAGGAAGAAAGCAAGGAGGAATGGACCCAAAATCATTTAGTGAACCTCTGGCCTAGTGCAGGATTAGAACTCACAGTCTCCTGGTTTCTGATCCATTGCCTGAACCACTACCCCACACTGGCTTCCATATGCATATATACACACCAACGTTTTGTTTTGTTTCATGCAACCGAGGGAGAGAACTCTTGATATATGATAGCTTATACTAAAGAGCATGGAGTCACCTTTCAAGCATCTCACGACTCTTTGCTGCTTCATACGTCAATGCTGAGTCAGTGTTCCTTGTTTAATCAACATGGTCATCATCTTGGATTTTGTCCCTGTAAAGGAAAGTCATTAACTTATCTCAGCTGTACCTACACAAAAGTCTTCTGCAAATCCAGAAGGCTTAAGGAAGCCTTCCTAACAAGCAGATTCTCCAAAGCACAAAATAGCATGCTGACCTGCTCATGAGTTTATTTCATTAATTAAGTAACTTAGTTAGACCAGTGGGTTTTTTTAAAAGTAAAACTTGGCCACTTAAAACCTCTCAGAACGGGAGTGAAAGTTCACCCATCTTAAATTGGCCAAGTCTGAAAAACGCTGAGTTAGATTTTGGCCTGTACAACACCAACCTTTAAAAAGGGGTTTTGTGCCACATTCGTTCTTAATTTTTGTTTCTGTTATGTTAAAGTCTGTAGCAAAGTTGACGGGTCTAGAGTTAAAAGCTTATGCAAAAGCTGGGGCCATCGCTGATGAAGTGCTCTCATCGATCCGAACCGTGGCTGCCTTTGGAGGAGAAAAAAAAGAAGTTGAAAGGTTGGTTATATATCAAGTTTGTTTCTGAGCAGCAAAGAAGCCAGCTGAATTGAAACCAGACCATGACTGCTTAAGTGCTAAAGATGAATATTTATTGTGACAATTGAAAATAAGCTCTTTTTAGCAGTAATAGACTTAAGCTGTGTCTAGGAAGACACTCTGTTTTTATTCTAGCTTGTTGTGCCAGGTGCATGAACTGTAAAGGCTTCCTCAGATTTAGCTGCTTTGATTATACCAGCAATATTGTAGAGTTGGCCAAGTATTAGATAGGTGAGCATGTATGCTGCCTGTCATACAGCCTTCTCTTTAATTAGACTAGCATCAGATCAGTGATGGGTTTCAAATTTTTTTACTACCGGTTCTGTGGGCATGGCTTGGTGGCGTGGCTTGGTGGGCGTGGCAGGGGAAGGATACTGTAAAATCTCCATTCCCACCCCACTCCAGGGGAAGGTTACTGCAAAATCGCCATTTCCTCCTGATCAGCTGGGACTTGGGAGGCAGAGAATAGATGGGGGCAGGGCCAGTCAGAATTTTTACTACCAGTTCTCCAAACTATTCAAAATTTCTGCTACGGTTCTCAAGAACTGGTCAGAACCTGCTGAAACCCACCTCTGCATCAGATGTGATGGTGATTACTCTTTTGTTGCCAATATCAAAATCATTTTAGCTCACCTGGAATCTGCAAAAAAAAAAAACATCCTGTGCTTTGCCTCAGGGATCCAAATGGCTTGCTGTGGCATTTTCAATATTCATTCAAAACAAGAATTGGACATGTGTGATGGGAACCTAGAAAGCAGCTTTAACCTACATGAGTCCTGTGGTTCCCTTAATTCGCTATTTTGCAAAGTGGATGGCTTCATCCATTATGCTTTTGTAAGAACATGGAGTTAGCCTTGAATAATGCAACAGCCATTAGGGAAACATCTATTTAGCCCAGAAGGACAGGAGGGTGTGTGGAAGAAACCCAAGTCTCTTCTGTCATGACTTTCTTTGTTATATGTGCAGAAGGAGAGATAATCTCTCTCAGGCTTACTTTAGTGTTATATAATATACTGCTCAAAAAAATAAAGGGAACACAAGCAGAAGACATCCGAGATCTGAAGGAATGAAATAGCCTTATTAAATACTTTGTTCTTTACATACAGTAGTTTATACACTGCTCAAACAACTAAAGGGAACACAAAACTACTGTATGTAACAAACAAAGTATTTAATAAGGCTATTTCATTCATTCAGATCTTGGATGTCTTCTGCTTGTTTTCCCTTTATTTTTTTGAGCAGTGTATAATAAAGTAGAATGGTAGGCCTAGTAGAAAGTAGGCCTTATGGTGTCTGATTGCTACCTGGCCTACTTTGAATGGCTCATAATGCTAGGTCAGAGGTGAGGAACTATGGCCCCTTCAGGACTTAAACTCCCAGAATTCCTGAGCTGGGAGTTGAAGTCCATAAGTCATAAGAGGGCCATAGTTCCCCACCCCTGTGCTAGGCAATAAATATTTGACCAAAGTTTCTTGAGAATAATCAACCAATGGAACAGCTTGCCTTTGGAAGTTGTGGGAGCTTCATCACTTGAGACTTTCAAGAAAAGATTGGACTGCGATTTGTCAGAAATGGTGTAGGGTCCCCTGCTTGAGTGGGGGGCTGGCCTAGATGACCTATAAGGTCCCTTCCAACTCTGTTAATCTGTTATAATATGTGCAACAAATAAGGTTGTAGACCAAAGGTTAGTAACCACAATGGCTGAGCTCATGCTAAACCACAATTAAAAACAGATCCACTATGACTTAGCCTCATATGCAAACCTAGTCACTGATTGGCTAGCAAATCATCAGAATTTAGGCAAGGGTCTTTTCCAGCCTTTCCTGGAAATGCAGAGAATGGGCTGTGACACCACATGACAAGCAATTTTCCTATAAAGCATCCCAGTACTTATTTTTCAGCAATGAAAGCTGCAAAATGATCCTTCATTTGAGTCAATCTGGAGTTGGTTTGTTTTTTAAAGTCCTCTTTTTGATTTTTTTTTTCTTTCTACAGATATGACAAAAACCTGGTGTTTGCTCAAAACTGGGGGATCAGAAAGGGAATCATTATGGGATTTTTCACAGGCTACATTTGGTGCATCATTTTCCTGTGCTATGCGCTGGCCTTCTGGTACGGCTCAAAACTTGTCCTTGAAGAAGAGGAATACTCTGCTGGCACCCTTTTGCAGGTAAGTGCTTTCTAAAGCTTTTCCTTTACTTTAACCAGGGGTGAAATCCAGCAGGTTCTGAAGGTTCTGGAGAACCAGTAGCGGAAATTTTGAGTAGTTCAGAGAACCGGCAAATACCACCTCTGGCTGGCCCCAGAGTGGGGTGGGAATGGAGATTTTATAATATCCTTCCCCTGGAATGGGGTGGGAATGGGGATTTTGCAGTATCCTTCCCCTGCCATGCCCACCAAGCCATATCCACAGAACTGGTAGTAAAAAAATTTGGATTTCACCACTGCTTTGAACATAGCCGTTTAGATATGGGGAGAGTCAGCAACACCCAGCAGCCCTTCACTTTTTACCCAACTGGAGTCATATATATTTAAAATGGTTGACCTCTGTAGGTATCAGTGAGGTAGCCATCTGCTTGGAACCCAGGAAATACGAGAAGAGAACCCATTTCTTTTTTCCTGCTACAGCAGAGTCCAGTGTTTCCAAAAAGGATTGGCGACAAGCCAAAATGAAGTGAAATTTGCAGAACATAAATATTGCAGAACGTTTCTGCTGAAACCTGGTGTGGGTTGGATCTAAGCCCTGAAGAGACCAAGTCAGTTTCACTCTTTAGAAAGTGGTTCCGGTAGGGATGAGTCCCTGCAGTCAAATGTTACAGCGCAACATGCTACTGTTGGCGGAGTCTTTCCAGGAGCTTCCATTTTAATGCTGTGCAAATCACTAAAAGCACTGCTTTCTTTGGGGACAGAAATGAGCCATCTCTTTTCCAGCTGTAAAGGCAGCTGTGCCTTTTATAAAGTCCATGCAGCTGCTTCAGAAATGATTCCCAGATGCTCTCATGCAGAACCAGTTGACTTCAAGCAAATACCTTGCCCAGCCTTGCTCAATTCCATATCCTTTTCGCCATATGTTCTTCCCAGCCCTACTGTCCAGTAGCCTTCCATGCTTGCTAAGCCTGTCTACTGTAAATACATATGGTTTTTGGAGTTGGGGACCTTTCTTTTTCTGAAGATGAGTTTGAATTTCTGTAGGCCTTGCAATTCAAGCTGGTTAATACTTCCGTGTTGTGTAGCGGTAGTACCATAAGATTCAGTAATTAGTTTATTAGAACAATAGAATAGCAGAGTTGGGTGGGATCTTGCAGTGGTGGGTTTCTACTTGTTCGCCACAGTTCGGGCAAACCGGTAGTGGCAGCAGCAAGTGGCTCCGCCCACCTGCCCGGACGTCATCACGGATGCTTTGCGCATGCACAGAAGGTTCTGCGCAGGCACAGAAGCACTGTGCGTGCTCACAGTTCTGAACCAGTAGTGAAGGTAAGTGGAACCCACTACTGGGACCTTGGATGAGGTTTTCTAGTCCAAACCCCTATTCAAGCAGAAGACCCTATACCGGGTGTCAAACTCGCGGCCTGCGGGCCAGATGCATGTCAAGCTTCCAAGTGACATGTCCCATGAAATAAAATCCAAGGCTTCCATTTTCCATTAAAGTCTATTTATTAGGAACATATCAAATTGGCAAGGACTTGGTGCAATTCCGACTCTGATCCAGAATTACACCCAATAAAAAGCAAAAAACAGAACCCTCCCCCCCCCGAGTCACAATCTCCAATCAATTCTCAGGCCATCAGTCCAGAGACTCCAAATTGCACCTTCCTCCAGCTGCAGGCATCTTCTCTGTTCCCACGGGAAGAAATGCCACCTAGACATAACATTCCCCCTTTATCTCTATAACCCCGTTCTCAACAGTTAGAGAGTGGTGAGCCTGAAGTAATCCTAAATTCCTTTACTAGCAAACCTAAAAGCTAAGAAAAGAATAGACAATATAAAATAGCTACACATATGTCATCTTCAAGGTTGACAATGCGTCACACGCTGGCCATGCCCACTCCCATTTTAGCAAAGGGGGAAAAGTCACGATACGTCACGTGATGACAACGTGACACGGCAAGCTTGACACCCCTGCTCTATACCATTTCAGATAGGTGGTTGTCGAATTGCTTCTTAAAAACCTCAAGTGATGGAGCACCCACAACTTCTGGAGACAGGTCGGTCCAGGGTTTAATTATTCTGTCAGGGAGTGTTTCCTTAGTTCTGGATTAATACATAGAGTAATACAATTAATACTCTCTTAATACATACCAAGTATTTTCTAGATCTCTAAAAATTGCTTTGAATTAAGGGACCAGTCCCAGACTTGAAAACTGAAATAGCTTTCCTAGGTTGGGAGCAGTGGGGGTATTCAGACAGTTCTATCCAGGGGTGAAATGTTCCTGGTTCGGACCAGTTTGACCGAACTGGTAGTGATGGTGGCCAGTGGTTCAGAGAACCGGTAGCAATGGCTGCACAAGGCTCCGCCCACCCACCCAGTCATCGTTACTTCCTGGTTTTAACCAGGAACTAACCTGTTTTTTACCCTCTGTGCATGTGCAGAAGGGTTTGCGCATGCACAGAGGGTCCACGCGCACATGTGACACATGCACTTCTGAACCGGTTGGGATGGTAAGTAGATTTCACCTCTAGTTCTATCCGGTTCAGGAGAACCGGTAGTGGCGACTGCGGGAGGCTCTGCCTACCTGCCCGGATGTCTTCACATCCCGTTTCTGACACTCTGTGGATGCACAGAAGGTCCTGCCCATGCGCTGAGGTGGCGCGTGCGCTCACATTTGCGAACCAGTAGCAAAGGTAAGTGACTACCACCCCTGGTTGGGAGGTAAAAGAACCACTTTATCCTTTTAATTCTAGTCCTATTACTGCCTTCTGATAGAAAAGAAGAGAAACTTTGATGTTATTTCTCAAAAGAACAAAGTTTTTTATCTGCCTTCCAGAAATACTGTTTTGGGACATCTATAGCTACTGATTGTAATTTAGTATTGGTATGCAGAAACTAATTCCCCCCCCCTTTATCCTTCTCAGGTTTTTCTCGGCGTCCTAGTAGGTGCCTTAAATCTTGGTCAAGCGGCCCCTTGCTTGGAAGCTTTTGCAACAGGTCGAGGAGCTGCCACAAATATATTTGAGACAATAGAAGAAGTAAGTAACCACTGATTGCTTTGGGAGGGGGGGCGGGATAGATGACAGTTTCAAGGAATGTAAACTTAGCTTCTGCCAAGAATGCAAATGAGAAATATTATAGTGATTAAAAGAAATTGATTGCAAGTTAAAGCAAACCAGGACCCTGCCTTGGTATTTACAAAGAGTGCATTCATCCAAGTGACATTCCTAAGTGATTTTCTTATGAATATTCAGCTTCTCGCTGTCTGCCCCACTCTGTCTGTCAAAGAGGGCTATACTTTATAAGGTACCTGATCATCAAGAAAGGCAGTGAGACAATTTGCAAATTAAGTGGTTTCAGGAACTAAGTCATTCTGGCTCCTCAGGCGTATGATTATAAGAAAGAAAAGGAGGCCAGAAGCTCCAAGGATGAAATGAATATGTATAGTACTGCCAATGCTTCAGAATTTTGCAAGGGGAAAAAAAAACCCACTCATTAAATCTTTCCCATAATAATTCTGCGGATACCAACAAGCTATGGCTGTAGATGCCAATAATATTCTATTAGTTTTATTCCTTGCTTTGTCAAAAATAAATGGAATGCATATAAATAGACAACTCTATATATACTGAACAAAGCCAGTATGGGTGTGCAGTTAAGGCATCAGGCTAGAAGTCAGGAGACCATGAGTTCAAGTCATGCCCGAGGCACAAAGCCAGCTGGGTGACTTTTGCACCACTCATTCATGCTCAGCTTTAGGGGAAAAAACCAGGGCAAATCATTGCCAAAAAACCTTGCCATGAAAACTGCAGGGATTAGACCAGGCAGTCACCAGGAGACAGAAACTGACCTGAAGGCATCAAAACAAAACAAAACAAAACAAAACAAAACAAAACAATATAAAAATACATACTGAGCTGTTGATTTAAACAAGGCAAAGATGATTAGGGGACTGAAGGCTAAAACATATGAATAACGGTTGCAGGAACTGGGTATGTCTAGTTTAATGAAAAGAAGGACTAGGGGAGATGTGATAGCTATGTTCCAATATCTCAGGGGTTGCCACAAAGAAGAGGGAGTCAAGCTATTCTCCAAAGCACCTGAGGGCAGGACAAGAAGCATTGGAAATCAAGGAAATCAGGGAAAGAAGCAACTTAGAACCAAGGAGAAATTTCCTGACAGTTAGAACAATTAATCAGTGGAACAACTTGCCTCCAGAAGTTGTGAATGCTCCAACACTGGAAGTTTTAAAGAAGATGTTGGATAACCATTTGTCTGAAGTGGTATAGGGTTTCCTGCCTAAGCAGGGGGTTGGACTAGAAGACCTTCAAGATCCCTTCCAAGTTTCAACTCTGTTATTCTGTTTTCTGTTTTTTTTTCTGCATTGGAGCACAAAACCCAAATTCATGTCCACCTTAAGCCATGGAAACTCCCTGTTGACTTTGGGCCAGTCACCCGCTCTCAGTTCAACCTATCTCATAGGGTCATTGTGAGTGAAAGTAGGAGGAATGAGTCCTCTGTCACCTTTTGGTCCTGAAGGAAAGGCGGGATATAAACTAGCAAGCCAATCACTTGTTTGATCTAAGTGCTCTGGTGCCAAAAATGGATGGCGTAAATCAGTGTTTCCCAAACTTGACTGCTTGAAGATGTGTGGAATTCAGCTCTCATAATTCCTCAGCCAGCCAGGGTGAGGGTGGGCTCTGGATGTTACATTTAGGGTTTCAAGAGTTTGACACATTCCTTAAGTAGGAAGTAGGTGGTCTACCAAAACATTCATGGAAATGTTAAGTAATGATAAGCAAGTTGGGGGTGGAAATCAATAAGGGATAGAAGAATCATCACAAGAGGATTCTGAAAGTCTGTTCAAGGCCTGAGGGCCAGCAAGAGAGGAGAGATAAATCCTTTAGATAGACATGTGAAACTAGCAACTGAAAGAAAGCTTCTTGAGAAAAAGCAAATTGAGTGATCTGATTAATTCTACTCCAGAAACCTAGAATTGACTGTATGTCAGAAGATGGCTACAAACTGGACAAAGTCCGAGGTGACATTGAATTCCATAATGTAACCTTCCATTACCCATCCAGGCCTGATGTTAAGGTAAGAATTCAGTATCTATTCTGCAGCACTGTCATAATTTTGAGATTTATTCTGGGTACCTAGCTAGGTCTTTTCAAATACAATGCCATTTTCTTTCTTTCTTTTTTAAAATCCAGATTTTAGATCAACTCAGCATGATTATCAAGCCAGGTGAAACCACAGCCTTTGTTGGCCCAAGCGGAGCAGGGAAAAGTACCACAATTCAGCTGATCCAGCGCTTCTATGACCCTACAGAAGGCATGGTGAGACTTTGACCCAACTCTGTCATATTTCTTTCATTGGAAAAATCCTGAAGCCTGATCCATTATTGCGGCATAATTATGTTTGCAATTTACTATGAAGCCATGCTCTTAACCTCCTCCAATTAACCAGTCTTTGGACTCAGAGAGCAAAATAACATTTATTTATTTTTCCAAACTCACATGGCCCCCTAACTCATATAATGATCCTCACCAGCTCATAACAATCAATACAGAGATAGAAACAGAACCATCTTTCTCAGCAGATGTCAGACCAAACAGTCTCCCAGCTCAACCTCCATCCTAGTCCAATGCTTGAAGGAAGAGCCATCTCTCCATGGCCTTCTGAGTGCTAAAATGGTAGAGAACCCTTGAATCTCATAGAGGAGGCTATTCCAAAGAGTAGGCCCAGCTGCTGAGAAGATATGCCTCTGAGGTCCCATCAGATAACAACATTTAAAGGACTGGAGCGTACCCAGCCTACCAAATCTCGTAGATGGGCAAATCACCTCAGGGACTTGAAACATGTCAAAGGGGAATGAAGCCACATTCATATTTCTATGAGAGATGCCTTGGTTTCAAAACTGGAAATGGAAATTTTTAATACATGTATAGAATACATTCTGTGAATAGGATATTTGATACAATGGGAAATGTATCTTGACAGGTAGTCCTGTCAGGGCTCAAATTAGTTAAATTTCATATTTTGTGGTAAGCTTTATGAACCTCATTAAGTCAGAATTTGCCTAACTCTGATTTTGTTGAGGAAGTTAGCTGGGCACACATATTTCATTAGGATAAAATGAAGAAAAATTCCATCATGATGTGATCCAGGATGTGGCACAATCCACCTGTGTAGAAATATTTTTAAATTCTTTACATCGTCTTTTAATATCCAATCCACCTAGGTAAATGAAATTATTAAGTAATATTATCTCACAGGCTGCATCTGAATTAAAATATACAATAAAAGAACATTCATCTCTGAAAAATTCAGAATTGGTTTGCACAGCCGCTCTCAATATCGGTACTTGATATTGTATCGTTGCTCATTTCATTTCATTGCTAACCAAATCTCACATGTATTATTAAGAAATTAAGTAGATGGTTTGTCGTATTAAAGGCAACTCCTGCGGTTCTTCCAGGAGACATCTGCAGAGGCATATCGATACAATGATCAGAGGTCAAAGAATTGGGAAGCTAATGCCATGTGTCCAGAAAGACCTTATATTACCACTTCCCTGCAAGGGATACTCAGATGCTGCAGAACAAACAATGTTTGAAACCAAGAGATGTGTGGCTTGAGATTAAAGGAAAATTGTGGAAAATTAATAAACTAAGCCTCAATAAGCTGTGCTTCCAGGGATTGTATCTAGGAATTAGACACGAAACTGGAAGCAGTGGAGTACAATGCTGCTGTTTTAAGAAGCAGCTTCCTGTTAAGAGAGGAAGATGTCGACCTGAAGGTACAGATGACCATAATCTTTACCTATGAACTGTTATCGTGCAGGTTACTCTAGATGGACACGACATTCGTTCCCTTAACATTCAGTGGCTGCGTTCTTTGATGGGGGTGGTGGAGCAAGAACCCGTCCTGTTTGCCACCACTATAGCAGAAAACATTTGCTACGGTCGGGAAGATGCCACTATGGAAGACATCGTTAGAGCGGCCAAAGAAGCCAATGCCTACAGCTTTATCATGGATCTGCCTCTGGTAAGCTTCACTTCTCAGTCCTCTGCCAAGACTGTCTCTTACACCACATCTGCGTAGTTTGAGATCACTAAATCACGGGTTGGCAATATGTTGTCCTCTATGCCAAAGGTGCTTTCTTCAAGAGGCAACTGGACTTTCTGGTTTTTCTTTGAAGACGTTTCGCTTCTCATCCAAGAACCTTCTTCAGCTCTGACTGGACAGTGGGGAATGGAAGGATTGTCCCAAAGGTGCTTTGGCCATCTAGTCAGAGCTGAAGAAGCTTCTTGGATGAGAAGCGAAACATCTTCAAAGAAAAACCAGAAAGTCCAGTTGCCTCTTGAAAAAGAACCTTTGGGACAACCATGACCTGGATGACTGAGAATCTCCATAGTCATTTTGTCCTCTAGTGTCAAAGCAACCACGATGCTCAATATTCCTTTGGTTAAATGATTGCTTCTAAGAAATGACCAGCATCTCAAAACCTTCTTAAATCTTAAGAACTCTTACATACAATTTCATGTAAATTCAAGTGAGAGGGGATAAGCTTTTAGCATCCATATCCATGATATTGCTAGATTTTTACTAAGGGTTTGAGGGTGGAAGCCGTATAATATCATGCTGAAATGATTGTTCAGCCCTGTATTAATTTAAGATAAAAACTCACCACTGTGGAAGACTTTTATCGTTTTCCTAGCTGTTGCTGAGAAACTTAAAAGTTGTTGCTAGGCAATTAAAAAGAGAAAATTAGGTAGGGTGGTGGATTACCATACAGGTAGCCCTCAACTTACAACCATTCATGTAGTGACCGTTCAGAGTAACAACAGCACTGAAAAAAGCTTGTGGTCAGTCCTTGCACTTATGACCATCACAGTGTGCTCATGGTCACATGATCAGAATTTAGGAGCTTGGCAAACAACCAGTGGTGGGCTGCCCCCGGTTTGGACCGGTTCGCAAGAACTGGTAGTAAAACTGGCAGGAGGCTCCGCCCACTGACCCGGACGTCATCATAGGAGATCTGCGCATGCAAGCACGGGCACGATGCGAACCGGTAGTAAAGGTAAGTAGAACCCACCCCTGCAATCAACATGTATTTATGATGCTTGCAGCATTGACAGGGTCATGTGACTGCCATTTGGGACCTTCCTGGCAGGCTTCCAATAGGCAAAGTCAAGGGGGAACCTGGATTTGCTTAATGACAACAGGATCCGCTGAACAACTGTGATTCACTTAATAACCGTAGCAGAAAAAGGTGGTAAAATTGGGTGTGGCTCACTTAACCACCGCCTTGCTTAGCAATGAAAATCCTGGTCGTAAGTCAAGAACTACCTGTACATGGCTAGTGGATGGCAGTACTCACTTTAATGATCTATCTAAGGATTATTTGTGTATCTAGTGGAACTTTTCAGATCATTTCTGTTTAATAACTTTACGTAGCATGACATTCAGTGTGCTTCATCTTATCCCTTCTGGACCTGGGGTAAAGGACGGTAGAAAAGACATTGTTTCCGGTGAAGGGATAGAGGCAAACCAGTCTTCTTCCCCTGAGATTTTTTTTCCTTGAAAAGCTCTTAAAGGAGATTAAAAGGAGAAAAGATTAAGGAGGGGAAAAATTCTTTTAGAATCATAATCAAATATATGGATAGGCACATAAGGTTATGCTTTATCATGCATACATAACTACACATGAGTTAGAGTTAATGGTATTTTTTTCCATGGAAATGGAGGATATATCTCTTCAATTTATACATAGATATGCATAGATACTTGCATTTGCAATCATATATTTATTTTTTATTTTTATTTATTTATTTATTTTTATATGCCGCCCTTCTCCGGAGACTCAGGGCGGCTTACAATGCGTTAAGCAATACCCTTCATACTTTTGTATATTTTATACAAAGTCAGCTTATTGCCCCCACAAACCGGGTCCTCATTTTACCCACCTTAGAAAGGATGGAAGGCTGAGTCGACCTTGAGCCTGGTGAGAATTGAACTCGCAGTAATTGCAGGCAGCTGGATGTTAAATGCTGCCTTAGTAGGAAGCATTAGCCTCCTATGCCACTCAGGCTCCTATATATACTGTAGGCATGCTTGAATGTGGGCAAATAAGCATGCTACTGAAAGCTAATTCCAGTAGTCAATAGTACCTTCAGATCTCGTACACAATACATATCATGTCAAAACACATTGTGATTGTTTTCAGGAATGATGATTTAGGAATTAGACTTGATCCAAAACAGCAGCTTATTTTAGGCCGACCTTTGATGCTTTCCATATAAACAGGTAGCGCTTGACTTTCAACCTTTCATTTACTGAAACAAGTGACTTAAGACTGTTTTTCACACTTCCAAGCAACCGTTGCAGCATCCCCGTAGTCGCCCGATCAAATTCAGATGCTGAATTTATGACGGTTGCAGTGTCCTGGGGTCATGTGATCTCCTTTTGTGACCTCCTGACGAGCAAAGTCAATGGGGAAAGCTGGATTGACTTTACAACCGTGCTACTAACTGCAGTTATTCACTTAACAACTGTGGCAAGAAAGATTGTGAAACGGGGTCAAACTCACTTAAGAACTGTCTCGCTTAGCAACATAAATCTTGAGCTCCATTGTGGTTGTAAGTCGAGGACCACCGGTATTGGACTTCCATTCCCATAACCCCTAGATCGTGAGCATAATAGCGAGGGATTAATAGGAGTTGAAGGCTAATCTAGCTAGAGAGTGGCAGCTGGGGAAGTCCTTTTCCTCTAGTATCCAAGAGTTGTACAATTGTGGCCCAACAACCTCTTTTTTTCCTGCCTTGAACACATATAGAAATGGAAACAAATAAATAAATAAATATATTGCTTTCATCTTGCCCCCAGACCTGGGGTGATCTTAGTCATCTATAGTGTACCATTTTTCCTCCATCCTGGCCCCATCCAAGAAGGCTCACGGGGTTATATCAATTAGGCTTGTAGAGCAGGCCTCCGACTGACCCTGGCTTGAAGCAGAGGCATGGTAAGGTAAAGGTAAGATTCCCCTCGCACATACACGTTAGTCATTCCCGACTCTAGGGGGCGGTGCTCATCTCCGTTTCAAAGCCGAAGAGCCAGTGCTGTCCAAAGACGACTCCATGGTCATGTAGGTGACATGACTAAATGCCAAAGGTGCACGGAACGCTGTTACCTTCCCACCAAAGGTGGTCCCTATTTTTCTATTTGTATTTTTTACGCACTTTCAAAATGCTAGGTTGGCAGCAGCTGGAACATGTAACGGGAGCTCACCCCGTTAAGTGGCACTAGGGATTCGAACCACTGAACTGCCAACCTTTTGATCGACAAGCTCAGCGTCTTAACCACATGGTAGAGATTAGTAAATCTTATGCCAGGATAATTTTCTTCCAGGTCAAAGATTTGAAGAACAGGACCAGCTCAAGCAGTGGGGAGACCCCTTAGGATCTCTGTTTTCCCATTCTGCAAGGGTTGTTACAGGATTAGCAGCCCCCTCTTGGCAGGCTTCCCTTGCTATGTTCCTCTTCTTGGGCAAAGCTTGCTGCAACATCCTTGCTTCATGAATACATGCAGCAAAGATAGGCTTCTTTTCCACCACATCTTTGGCCAGAAGGCCAAGATCCCAATTATTCCAGGGCTGCTTCTCTGTCTTATCCCATTCAACATAATATTCATGATTGACCTAAGGCAGGGGTGGAGAACGATGGCCCTTTTATGACTTGTTGACTTCCAACTTCCAGAATTCTGGGAGTTGAAGTCCACAAGTCATAAAGGGGCCATCATTTCCCGTCTCTGACCTAAGGAAACTGAGATGAAAGTGCTTTGTAACTTTTTGCTCTTTCCAATATTTCAGCAATTCGACACCCTTGTTGGAGAAGGTGGTGGCCAAATGAGCGGAGGCCAGAAGCAGCGAATTGCCATTGCTCGGGCTTTAGTTCGAAACCCCAAAATCCTGTTGCTGGACATGGCTACATCAGCACTGGACAATGAAAGCGAGGCTACTGTGCAAAAGACACTTTCCAAGGTTGGCGATCTTATTATTTCAGTTCAGTGGGGGTTAGGAATCCTTTGCTTTTCAGTCTCTTTTAAGTATGGAAGAGTAGGAATTTAAGGAGGAATTTCTTTTTGACTTTTCCATCCGCCATTTAGGCAGATGTTGGCCGATTTCATACAGTGCACTAAGCATGTGGTTTGCCTAGCTTTGGATTTGCATGCTGTATGAATCCCAACATCATGTTTTGTAAATATGGTTTATAGCTTAGTTAAGTTTGTGATGGCAACTATTCTGTTTTATTCAATTTAGACAATGGTTTAGCATAATCGCTGAATTTGAGCCCTCTTTTAATTGTGGTGATGGTAAATCTTGAATGGAGAAGAGAGGCAGCTCTACAGTATTTCATCTAAAGACTTTTGGGAACAACAGCATAAAATGAAAATGGTAGATTTTCTTTCGATTTTGCCTCTTCTCCAACGCACACAAGCTGTTGATCTCTGCGATCTTCCTTTGAAATGAACACGACAGCTCTTGTGAACAGAAAGGCCTGTGGGCATGCTGGAACTCCATAAAGTTTTGTTTAAAAATAGTGACAGAGATGGATTTTAAAAAATTTAAACCTCAAAGCATTCACTGTCCATCAGATGGGCTTGGCAGTTTTCAGAGAACTCAGTTTCAGTAAGAATGGATCTGAAGTTTGAGAGATCCTGGCAAAAAGGCCAGACAAAGAATAATGGATAGAAACTGATCAAGGAGAGAATCAACCTAGAAATTTTCTGACAGTGAGAACAATCAACCAATGGAACAGCTTGCCTTCAGAAGCTGTGGGAGCTTCATCACTGGAGGCTTTCAAGAAGAGATTGGACTTCCATCTGTCAGAAATGGTGTAGGGTATCCTGCTTGGGTGGGGGGTTGGACTAGATGACCTACAAAATCCTTTCCAACTCTGTTAAACTATCTATTATATAGAGCTATGCAGATCAGTTCGCTTGATAGTTCTTTTTCACTCTCTGGATTACCTGGGCAAGTACTCTGGCCCACTCAGGTTATGCAATCAGGTTTTTCTCTAAAACCTTCTTCTGTTTTCATCTACAGCTTTGCTTAAGATAAAAAAACTTTGCGCTGTTTCCTACCATGTACACATTTGTTACAGATTTGCCACTCTCTTTGATCTCCTGAAGCTTCTGCAAGCATCATTTTCAAAAGAGAGTTGGCTGAGAGACAAAAGGAGGGTATCCTTATAGGGAAGGAAGTAGTCTTTTACTTCCTCTACAGCTTTTGTATTTAAGAGTTTTTATCATTTTGAAAAAGGATAGATGAGAGATGCTTGCCTCCTTTGTCTGCTTTGGTTCAATCAAATTACTCTCTAAGTTAAATCTTGGAAATACTCTATTACTGTTGTTTAAAATACATTTAAAAAATTGATGCACAAATGCTGAACACACAGAGTGTGTTTCACGCACACAACAAATCCCGTTTTTCAAAAAACATTCTTAGCTTGAACTAGATATGAGGCAGGGCTTCAAAAATGCAATCACCCAGAAACAGCTGCGTTATTAAGAAAGAAGAATGGAATACTCCATACTGAATTGGGGCTTCAGTAACACTGCTTATTTTATTTTTTAAAATGTAATTTATTCATTCGCACCTATCCAGATGGATTTTTCTGTTAACGAATAGGAATGAGAGATTTTCTGACTTCATGGAAACTTAAATTCTGAAACAGATATAGGTATAAACAACAGAGGAAAATTAGGTTGAAATTAGCAAGGGGACACTATGTGATTGCTTTATCTTCTTACAAAGAAGATGTAGAGGAAGATTTGGCAATAACTGCTTCTGTAGCCTCCAACCTCCAAAGATTGTACTGTCAAAGTCATTTTTCCCCCCGCAGTGTCATCTTCCTTTCTAAGCTAAAATATGTGTGGTGTCATCGCCATGCCTTCAGCAGATCACAGAGCACTTAAATGATATGAAAAACTGCACCTCAGCAACCAAGGAAGGTGTCCATCTTAGCACTGAGTATTACATGGTATCTGGGGGATGAACATTCCTGTTCACACCTCCCTTGGAATTCTTGGGGATTTGAACACTAGCTATTGTATTTTATCTATTGTAGTATTTTATGACTGAACATGGGTGCCATATGGATCTGATGGCAAATGTCATCTGGTAGATAGCCATTGTATTCTGCACAAATTGAAGCTTCTGGATAGTACCGCATCTGGTATGCTGTGAAGCCCCCTCCCATTACCATCACCATCACCTCTATCTCTCATGAAACAGGAGCTGTGAATCCAGGAACATCCCCACATCCTGGAATTTCTCTTTCAGAGGAAATGCCTTCCCACCCCATCGCCAGAAAATGACTGTCGTAGCCATGAAACAGCAAAACAATTTCCATTCAGAGAATAACGCAGTTCAAGCATTCAGGCCACGCAGGTTTATTAAGGATATTTTGCTTTTATTACCAGTTATTGAGTTACATGGTACATCATGTCAGGGTTCCGACGGATGCCCTAATTAAATCATGAGTCTTGAGCCAAGCTTCAAAAGAAATCCAGTCTTTTATTAGGAGCTACATGTCGGCATGTTCCCAGGTGAAGCCAGCTCTGACCCTATGTAATTTACGCTCCAATTATGACCCTGTTTCTCCCCTCCCCCCAGGGTATGTCATCAATCACATTTGCCAATGGAGCAATTTCGTGGGTTGTAGAGGTCACTCCCCTTCGGCTGCCGTAGGTAACCCTGGGATACAGCCTTGAGAGAGATAAGCATGGAATGTGCATCTGTCTTTGGCTGCTGTGCCATTTCGCCAGTTTTCCATCACCCCTGGCCTATGGCAGCTCGAGAGCAGGCCAGGGATGCTTTACGAGTTGACACATCAATCCCCATGTCACTTTAAGGAATCTTTAGACATTTATATAAAGCATCCATATTTGAGAGAGAGATCAGTCAATTAGGATTCATTTCATCCTCTGGGATGATAGAAGTACATACTGAACTTTCATGAATGGTGGTGCCTCCAAAAATCTTTCTTTCATCTCCATAGGCTCGTTTTGGGCGCACCGCAATCTCCATAGCTCACCGTTTGTCCACAGTAAAATCTGCTGACATTATCATTGGATTTGAGCATGGAAGAGCTGTGGAAAGAGGGAAACATGAAGAGCTGATAGAACGGAAAGGAGTGTATTTCACGCTGGTAACGTTGCAAAGCCAAGGCGACAAGGCACTCATGGAAAGCTCAATGCAAAGCAAGTACCTGATTCTGTATCTTTAATGTTCCTAACTCAAATAATTAACTTCCTGTTAATGAAGCTTAAGTTTTATTTTTTATTTTTTATTGATTCCACAGAGAATTAGACTTTGCATATTTCATAACCAAGGAAGCTGTCCACTTTAGGATCAAACGATTTCTTCTTGTACTGTATTAAACATAGCTCAAATATTTACTTGAGAGTCCCTTGAGAGTCCCTTGAGAGAGATATTATCTCTCTCAAGGGACCTTAAAAGCCTCCCATTTCTTTTAATTGAAGATGCCTAGGGCTGAACCTTCAGCTTTGTGCATGTAACACATGGCTCTAGTACTAGGCAACAGGCCCTATAAAGAATTGATGCAGTGATTTGTGGAAACATACAGATACCTTCAGGCAGAATTTTCTGCATATGTCCAGTAACCAAATCCTAATGTTCTGAAAAGTGCTTCCCTTCCCAATTGCATTAGCATTTAGACTCATATATTGCTTAATAGTGTCTTACAGCCTTCTCTAAATGGTTTACAGAGTCAGCATATTGTCCCCAACAACCTCATTTTACCAACTTTGGAAGTATGGAAGGCTGAGTCAACCTTGAGCTGGTCAGGATTGAACTCCTGGCAGTGGGCTGAATTAGCCTGCAATATTCATTCTAACGACTGTGCCACCACAGCTGCCTTTATCCAATGATAACCCATCTCCAACTACTTATATTTATAGTGCAGGATCTGGTTGGTGCAGAGGCTCATGAGGCACACTTTCTGCTGCTAACAACTACCTGTTCATTAGCATCACTAGCAGCACCTCAGCACCATCTGTTCAAGGTTCCTCCATGTGTATTGAAATCTATTATCAAATATGTCACTGGAAAGGGGCTTTGTTTTAACAATATCAAAGAAAACACACACACACCTTGTGCTGGGCTGTTCCATTTTAGAATGAGGGAAGAAAATTTTTCGCCATAAAAAACATTTTTTGTTCCAAAGTAAGTGGCCTTAGTGGCCCAACTCTCCTCTTGAAAGATCAAATAGACCCAATTTATTTATTTATTTATTTATTGGTTCGATTTATATACCGCTCTTCTCCGGAGACTCAGGGAGGCTTACAATGGGTTAAGCAATAGCCTTCATACTTTTGTATATACCTGCTTAGTAGAGCTTTCGCCCCCACCCCAAGCGGTGTTCTTTTTTATACAAAGTCAGCTTATTGCCCCCACAATCCGGGTCCTCATTTTACCTACCTCGAAAGGATGGAAGGCTGAGTCAACCTTGAGCCTGGTGAGATTTGAACTTGCAGTAATTGCAGGCAGCTGGTGCTACTTTAACAGCACTTAGTCAGCTGCGCCACCAAGGCTCTTATGGCTACTTGCAACATGAAATGATGCAACCATGAACAGCATCTTTCTGCACCTTTGCTCCTGATGAGGAGCTAGATGACCGGCTCTGGGGTTTCACACAATTGTAAGTGCAAGGGACAATTGGTCTCCTTAACACTCCTGTGCAAAGTTCAGTGTTTCTGTAGGATATAAAAATTCCCATATGGAAAAGAGATGATTGCTTGTTTGCCAAATGAGCAGAGCTTAAGAAGGTGCTTTATCAACTGTTTAAATGATCAGAGTAGAATGGCAAGGCTTGAGATTGAAGTATTAAGTACTGTACAGAAATGTTCAGTCTTATACTCTATGGAGATTCTCAGTCATCCAGGTCATGGTTGTCCCATAGATGCTTTTTCAGGAGGCAACTGGATTTACTTCCTTCCTTCCTTCCTTCCTTCCTTCCTTCCTTCCTTCCTTCCTTCCTTCCTTCCTTCCTGTCTTTCTGTCTTTCTGTCTTTCTGTCTTTCTTTCTTCATTTCTCTTTTCATCCAAGAAGCTTCTTCAGCTCTAACTGGAAGGTGGGGAATGGAATATGAATCCTTCCATTCCCCACCATCTAGTCAAAGCTGAAGAAGCTTCTTGGATGAGAAGCGAAATGTCTTCAAAAGAAAAAGCAAGAAAGTCCGGTTGCCTACTGAAAAAGCACCTTTGGGACGTTCAGTCTTATAACAGATTTGCTTGATGTTCATGCTACTTGACCATATTTTTTTTCTCTCTCTCTTGGATTCTCTTACCTTTGATTGTTGCCGTGAATCTTCTATTATTGTATTTACAGTATCTGAGCCAAAACCTGAAAAAATGCAGCCTTTCAGCAGGGGAAGCTATCAAGCAAGCTTACGGTAAGCCTGTTTGATCCAAAATAATCTTAGAATTTAAAGAAGAACATATGGCAAAACATTTGATAACATCTACCTGTGTGAAAGTTTGAAATGTAAGATTATTAAGAAAAGGAAGTAGATCCACACCCATAGCTATAAATAATGTAGTGTTGAAATTTTCTTTGATCTTTACAAGTACAGAATCAGAAGCTTCTGATTCTGAATAAAGATAATATTGGTAATAATGGGGGGGAAAAACCTTTCCATTTTATGATATTGTTGAAGGGGATATCAGGTGGGGAGTTTAGTCTTATTTTGCAGAAAATATTATCCTAAGAAAGCGTCTGGTTTTCCCCTACCCACATCCTGCATTTCCTTTGAATTCTTCTTGGACCATGGGAAAGGAAAGGGAAAAGAAAAAGAAAAGAGAAAGCAATTGGAAAGATACTAGATCTAGGACAATATAAGGATGAAATATGACATTATATGACCTGTGTACTGGCATTGCCTTGAAAGCAAAAATATTGTAGATCAGAAATCCTTTTAGACTTTCAAATTCCAAATTTGAGTTCCAAATAATTCAAATTATTGAATTAATTTTAAAGATTTTTTTCTCTTTTTTAATTAATTTTAATTTTTATAAAAAAGCTGCAGATGTGTGAGAGACGTGGGCATGGAACCAAAAGATTCATTTATGCCAGCTATCATGAATTGAGACCATAAATATTAAGGCTGGATGCACTATGTATAATTAATACTGAAAGGAGGAGAGGTTTTGGATCTTTTGTAGATGCAGTAGCTCCCCCTTTTTTTTTTAAGGAAAGGTCCTTTACTTTATCCAGGTTTCTGCGCAAAGCTGGAGAAAAAAAGGGACTGCTGCTGTACCAAATGGATTCCTCAGGAGTATTGATCTTTTTTTCTGGCCTTGAGGAATTTTTGTCACTTAGTTGGGTGAAAATGAGATACTCTGGGTCTCTGGATAGCAATAGCAATAGCACTTAGACATATATACCGCTTCACAATGCTTTACAGTCCTCTCTAAGCAGTTTACAGAGTCAGTTTTTTGCCCCCAACGATCTGGGTCCTTAGTTTACCGACCTTGGAAGGATGGAAGGCTGAGTCAGCTTGAGCCTGGTGAGAATCAAACTGCCAAACTGCTGGCAGATGGCAATCAGCAGAAGTAGCCTGCAGTACTGCACTCTAACCACTGCACCACCACGGCTCTTAAACTGATGACTTAAACTGAACCATGAATCTCAAATATCGGATGCAATCAGAATAACAGTGGTATCTGAACAAAGCTCATGGTGGCATTTTATATTATATTATATTATAAAATTAAATAATAAATGCACCATTTCCTGAACTCCTGAGACAGACAAGAGTGTGATTGGACTTTTCTCTGTTTCTCAGAGCATCTCTTCGACAGCGTTCCAGATCTCAGTTGTCAAACATAGTCCCTGACCATCCAGCGTCAATTGTAGGATCCTATTCAGAGCGCAACTGTAGCATATCTCACTATGAAGAAGATGGAAGACCATTTATGAAGGTCAGTCAGAGTCACTGCAAGACCAAGAGAAGCTTCTGTTTTGTGTTCCTTTGTCTCTTCCCATCTCATGACACCGGACCTGTCTTTGGTGATACTTTTGTTGGGATCAAATGATTGCAAGCCATTCTCCTGGAGGCCTCCAATGAAGAGACTTTGGAAAATGTAATTGGTTCAAATGTAGCAATGACAAGATTATTTGAGCATTACAGGTTGGGATAAAATATTACACTGGTACTGTAAGTGCTGCAATGACTATTAATTTGACTGTAAAGGGGCCATGATGATATTAAAGGTCTACACAATGTAGGTCCACATCATCATCATCATCATCTTCTTCTTTTAATAATCCCATAATCCTTTGTGGGGTGGAGTCTGGGCAACTGAATGGATCTGAGTGTTTACTGGCCGGATGCCCTTCCTGTCGCCAATGCGGAGTTACATTCAGCAGATATATTCTCATTGTGCCCAGAGAGAGAAATATACGCCTTTACCTAGGATCAAACTCACAACTTTCTGATTGTGAGGCGAGAGCTCCACCTCTAGGCCACCTCACCACTCGATGTAGGTCCACATCAGTTTAGGAAACAGCTTGCTCACAGCCTAAAATCCGACGGAGAGGCCCTTTCCCGTATCCCAGGTGAGTCAGAAACTGGATGGGGAAGGACAAAGAAAAGGCTTTCTTGGTGACTGCACTTAAATGGGAGTTTAAACTCCTGCCGAAAGCTGTGTTGACAACCTCACCTTTGTTAGGAATACTGCGAGGTGATTCCCTCAAAATCTAAAGATCTATAAGGAGGCAGAGATGTCTGCTGGTCTGGAGGCTTTCATAAAAACGATGAAAGTAGCATTGTGCTGCTGTATCACATCCTCACCCTTTTATATATGTGCGTGGGAGATCACCCCGCATGCAGAAAAGAGGCAAAGACTTTGCATCATAATGTTGCAAGCTGCTTTCCTTATTTCCCCCTCTCCTTTTGATTTCGTCCTGAGGAAAAATGGCAGCCAGGGGGCGGGGAGGTGATGGAGAGCCATTTGCTGTTGTCCTCTGGTAGCAACAGTCTTGAATGCTAATGTTTCCCTCTTTCCTTTTCAAAAGGAACGGATTCATGAAAAGGATGAGGAAGAAGTCGCACCTGCTAACGTGACCAGGATTTTGAAGTACAACGCTCCTGAATGGCCCTATATGGTGCTTGGATCCCTTGGGGCAGGGGTCAATGGGGCAGTCAACCCTCTCTATGCCTTGCTCTTCAGTCAAATTCTTGGAGTAGGTCCAATGACCAGTGTTCTTTTGCCTTGTGATAAATGATATTGAGCATCCTATGTTGTCCCTCCCTCCCTCCCTCCCTCTCGATTTCATTACTGAATGAATTCACTTATCACTGTAAGCTATAAAGTGGTTTCTTTGGTTCCTCCTGTAGTTTGTAAACTGTGGCCTACTGCTTAGGGTGAAGCTGGAATCTTGCCTAACATGTAGCTTATCTAAAAAGCCACTGTTTAAAAAATGTACTTTGATGCAATAGGGAAATCTAACCATTGTCCCTACGTATAAACAAAGACATGTTCTGAAGACAAGTTTAAGACTGGTTCTCCAAGCAGGCCCTGTTATCCTGCCAGCAGTATTCTAGGGAAAGAAGGAAAGGAAGATGGGACTGTTTCATTAATGAGCTCCAGATCAAAATGAGTCTCTGGAATGTAGCTGGCAATTCAACATTCTGTGGAAAAGCCGATTGCATATTGTTTATCTGAAGGCTGGTTTTCCTGTCAGTTTTGCTTTTAGCACACGAGGAAACAATCCTACCTCTGATCTCAACACAATTCAGCACCTTTTTTCATCTTTCTGCACAAAGATGTTAGAGATGCTAGTTTGGGGGAGAGGCAAGACACCCATGTGGCAAGACTTGTATGATTAGAGCTCCTAGCTTTCTTTTTTCCTTTAAAGCTTTTGAAAGGGGGAGATTAGACATGAATTTTTATTTTGGTTTGGTTTGGTTTGGTTTGGTTTGGTTTATTATTTTATTTTATTTTATTTTATTTTATTTTATTTTATTTTATTATTTTATTTTATTTTATTTTATTTTATTTTATTTTATTTTATTTTATTTTACTTTACTTTACTTTACTTTACTTTATTTTTTTATTTTTTTATTTTTCCCCAGTGAGTAAATAGGCAAGTGGGGAGTAAATGGGAAATTAGGAACCCCTGTGGTGCAGTGGTTAGAATGCAGCATTGCAGACTGACTCTGCCCACAGCCTGGAGTTCGATTCTGACTGGGCTTAAGGTTGACTCAGTCTTCAATCCTTCCAAGGTCGGTAAAATGATGACCCAGACTGTTGTGGGGCAATATGCTGACTGTAAACTGCTCAGATAATGCTGTAAAACACAATAGAATGTAATAAGTCTATTACTTTTGCTAAATGTCTCCACTTAATTTGATTAGGACTCAGGGACAATTTTATTTATTCGGTTGCCAAAGAAAAGAAGGGGGAAAAATTGACCTCATCCTGCTGGGTTTTCCTCTGAAGAATCATTAATAGGTGTTAGACTTTTAAAGGACTTGTGACTTTCTGATTCTCTCTTCTTTTTATTGCTACTGCTCTCTCTTACTCCACTTCAGAGATGCATGGCTTTATCTGATCCAGCATTACTTTCTTTCCACTTATTAATAATACCTGCCTTCTCAACATATCTACATTTCTTCTGATGTATTTCATAAGGGGTGAGGAGGACGCACTGTTAGGCTTCCTGGAACCACAGCATTGGTTCAACAAATTTTCACTTTTAAAAATGGATATATCTAGAATGGGATAATATGCTGTAAGAAAGATGCCCTCAAACTGGGAAGGGGTCAGAGAGGGGCAAACAAGATAGTTACTAGCATGGAAGGAGCTGTGGTTAGGATGCTGTGTTGGAGATTAGCAAGCCCATGTTCGAGACCCAGCTGCTGCCCATGGGGTGGGGTGAGCTCCCATCTTTTGCTCCAGCTCCTGCTGGGGACAGCAGGAACCCCCAACTGGGCGTCTCTTGGCAATGGTGAGGTCCCCAGCTAATCTTTTCAACCCAGAAACACCTCGAGTGTGAAGTGAGTAGCATGGAAAACATTAATACCCAAATTCTGCTGTCTGATATTCATACTTTACACCCTATGATGTGGCCAGCCCTGTTGATGAACCATGTCAAATGCCATGCTGAAATGAACATGGATTAGACTACACAAGTATGCGTTTTTCTACATCGCTGTACCCTTTGGCCTAAATACTGAAAAAAACCCTAATAAATGTGTGCTTTCAACTGCCGTGTGCAAAAACTTACATTTAATTTCCTTTTCTTTCCTCAAGACCTTTTCGGTGCCTGATGAAGAAGAGCAAAGAGCTCAGATCAACGGTGTCTGCTTGCTCTTTGTGGTTGTTGGAATCGTATCGTTCTTCACTCAGTTCTTACAGGTGATGAGAACCGAATAGGATTCTCAGCATGAGGGTGCCGTTCCCTTGATACTCTCTCCCTGCTTCCCCCCCTCCCTCGTTTTCTTCTTTTTTGTACATGTGGACGGACACTTGGATTTACACTTGTTAAAAATCCTTTGCAGGGTTATACGTTTGCAAAGGCCGGAGAATTGCTTACACGACGCTTAAGGAAAATTGGCTTCCAGGCGATGTTAGGCCAAGAAATTGGCTGGTTTGACGACCATAGAAACAGCCCAGGGGCCTTGACTACGAGACTAGCAACTGATGCCTCTCAAGTTCAAGGGGTAAGAGATTTGATTTAATAGCCGTTTCACAAAAACATCCAATATGATTTGCTTCAGAATGAAACAAAATAATAATTGCTGCTGGCAAGTGTGTGTTTCAGTAACCTGATAAAGGAAGAGTATACAATTTGAGTCCCTGCGGGGGCTGCCAACACAATCTCCAGTGTAGTTGCGAGATTCCCAGTGATTTGTAATTATTGATGTGATAAAACAAGAAGCTTCCAAGGCATTATTAATACACAGTATGCAGATCTCTGAAGCATCTAAGGCCAGAGGTGGGATTCAGCCAGTTCGCACCTATTCGGGAGAACCGGTTGTTAACTTTCTAAGCAGTTTGTTGGAAGAAATCTTATTTTGTTTTTTTCCACTTTACAGGGCTAATCCTGTAAGGAAGGCAGGAAGGAAACATTCTGGTGTTGTTTCTAGCCTAATCTTTATTGCCCTGCTTACAGAAACTGCCTCTCTGGTTAACCCTTATTACATTGTAACAGCTAAGGGGAAGCACCCATCGACATGAGTGACATTGAGTTGGCCATGCCCACATGGTCACATGACCACCGAGCCACGCCTACCCAGCTGTCATTAGGGCAGACAACCGGTTGTTAAATTATTTGAATCCCAGCACTGTCTAAGGCCCACTTCTCATTGCAGCTGTAAATCTGTGTCTTCATTATAGCCTTTTCATCAGCCATTGGAAGGCTTGCATGATTTATTCCGACTTATTTTATGAAACCTTCCTCTCCTGCTCTTCTGTGGCAGACCCCGCTGCTCAAAGCAACTTTATAACGTTTAAAATGATGATTTCATCAAAACAATCGTGTAAAACAAAGAGAGGAGACAAGGCTAGCCATTAAAGCCCAGTTGCAAAATTATTATCTGCACATCCAAGGGCACAAAGCAGTCTTCAACAACTGAGTGTTAAAATGAATGAGGAAAGAGATCAGCTGCAATTTTTTGGAGCAATCTTTTGTGTAATATAAGGCCTTTGTCTTCACTCATTCATTCACGCCCGGGCTCCCTAAACAGTCTGTCTATTGCAGTGTTTCTCAACCGTGGCAATTTGAAGATGTGTGGACTTCAACTCTATTGAAGTCTACTGGAATTTATCCTCCCTGACAGGAGAACTTTACAGCCTATTCAGGAAAAAACAACAACCACACTTTCCTTTGTCATCTTCTATATAGCACACACACATAGGGAAAACTACATTTTCTCCTTTGAGGCTCCACTTCTGGTCTGAAGTTGGGAGCAAAACATTCTGTTTACATCAGTAATTGTCAGACACAATAAAGTAGGCTAAGACACTTAGCTTGCTGATCAGAAAGGTCGGCAGTTTGGCGGTTCGAATCCCTAGCATAGGTCTCCTGCGTGAGCAGGGGGTTGGACTAGATGACCTCCAAGGTCCCTTCCCAACTCTGTTACTGCTTCTTTATTGTTGACCACTTATTGAGTTACAAGAGTCTTGCCAGACTGACTGTATTCTCATGGGAACAGGCAGATAAAGGCTTCAGGAATTTGGCCTCTGCCACTTCCTCCCATGGAGCGATTCCAAGCTAGACTAGCTTTTTACTCTAGGTGGTGATTCTACCACCATAAAGGTGACTTTGGACCGATTTTGTCTTTGCTACTCCTCTTGTGAGGTTACTACAAGTTGAGAAGCTAAGAATAAAACAGACGGAGAATAAAAGTAGCAGTGACTAAGTTGTGGCTGATGGGCCTATTTTGCAGTTTGAAATACCAGAGGTTGTCTGGTACACAGGTAATCCTCAACTTACGACCACAATTGAGCCTAAAAATTTATGTTGTTAAGTGATTGTCTTCCATTTTACGACTTTTCTTGCCACATTTGTAAAGTGAATTATTGCAGTTGTTAAATTAGTAACATGGTTGTTAAGTGAATCTGGCTTCTCCATTGACTTTGCTTGTCACAAAATGACTCCTGAACACTGCAACCGTCATAAATATGAGTCCGTTGTCAAGCACATATGAACGTAAATCGCGTGACCATTAGGATGCTGCAATGGTCCTAAGTGTGAAAAATGGCCATAAGTCACTATTTTCAGTGCCGTTGTAACTTTGAATGGTCACTAAATGAACCATTGTAAGTGGAGGACTACCTATACATAGTGAGAAAAATAAAAAGAGCTGGCAGTAGGTCAGATGGAATTTCAACGTTAGTGACTGAGTAACAGAATGGAGTAAGGCAGATGGTGGGACATATACACCAGTGGTGGGTTGCCCCTGGTTCGGACCGGTTCGCAAGAACCGGTAGTAAAACCGGCGGGAGGCTCCACCCACCGACCCCGACATCATCAGGAAGCTTCTGCGCATGCACAGAAGCGTGCGTGTGCGGTCCATTGCGAACCGGTAATAAAGGTAAGTAGAACCCACCCCTGATATACAGCCCTGTCCTGAAATATTGTGTTGCCTCTTTGAGCTTTCTAGCATCTGCTGAATAGAGCCAAGCTTGGTCCAAGAAGCTGTTGATGATTGACTGATTGATTTCCTTCCTTTCCTAGGCGACTGGCACACAGATAGGCATGATTGTGAATTCCTTCACCAATATCGGAGTCTCCATTATTATCGCTTTCTACTTCAGCTGGAAACTCAGCTTAGTCATAACCTGCTTCTTGCCTTTCTTGGCTTTGTCAGGAATGGTTCAGTCTCGAATGCTGACAGGCTTTGCATCTCAGGACAAGAAAGCAATGGAAGCTACCGGAAGGGTAATGGGCTTTATTTTTGTTTTACTCTAAGACTGACTGAGACGATGAATAACTGCTTGAGCAATTGCCTTTGTTACGTAATTATATCTGTGTGTCTCTATATATATATGTCAGGGGTGTCAAACTCGATTTTATTGAGGGCTGCATCAGGGTTGTGATTAACCTTGGGGGGCAGTAGTGGGCGTGGCCAGTGTGGGCGTGGCCAGCTTGACGTCACTAGTATCAGGGCTGCCTGTGGCGGCCCGAGTACTCTCCCAGCGAAAATGGGCTCCCAATCTCCATTTTTGACTGGGATGGCCTGCTGCAACCCTCTGCCAGCCAAAACAGAGGACTCCCGAGCTCCGTTTTCACTGGCAGAGGGTTGCAGGAGGCCATCCCGTGAGATTGGGAGCCCATGTTCGCTGGCAGAGGCACCATGGGCCAGTCCTTTGCTGTTTCCAGGATGGCCCCGTGGGCCAGATCTAAGCACCCTGTGGGCCACATCTGGCCCTCAGGCCTTGTGTTTGATACCCCTGCTCTACATGTACACATGAACAGAGCTTGTTAAGCAATAGAAGCTTCCCAGACGGTACCATTTCTATTGTTGGAAAGATGACTTGCTCCTTAGAGAATCTGTGACTTCGAAGTGTCCACTTCTAAACCTGAAAAGCACTTTTATTATCAGGAGGGACAGTTGTAAATCGCAGCTAAAAGCAACTGTAACAAACTGGATTCAAGAGTGGACCCTCTCAAATCTTGTAATATAGGCTATCTCCCCACAGGTCCTTGTGTGTTTGAAATATTTGATGTTCACTGATTTTAATTTCTGAGGGTATAGATATACAGTACAAGTGGTCCTTGATTTATGATCACAATTAAGCCCAAAATTTCCTTTGCTAAGCGAAACAGTTGTTAAGTGAGTTTTGCCCCATTTTACAACCTTTCTTGCTAAAGGGGTTAAGTGAATCACTGAAGTTGTTAAAGTTAGTCACGCAGTCGTTAAATCTGGTTTCTCTATGGACTTTGCTTGTCAGAAGGTTACAAAAGGGGATCACAGGACCCTGGGACACCGCAACCATCATAAATATGAATCAGTTGCCAAGCATCTGAATTCTGATCACGTGATCATGGGGATGCTACAATAGGCATAAGTGTGAGGACTGATCATAAATCTCTTTTTTCAGTGCCGTTGTGACTTTGAACAGTCACTAAACAAACTGTTGTAAGTTGAGGAGCATCTATAGCTATATTTATGTAATTATTGACTGAGAACCAGTTTGGTCTAATAGTTAAGATACTGGCATAGAAACCAGGAAATGGTGAGGTCTATGCTTGCCTTAGACATGAAAGCTTGGGCCAGTCCATTTTTCTCAGTCCTACGAAGAAGGAAGTGGTATACCACCCACCTAAAATATTGCCAAGAAAACCACAGTGACTTGTCTATTTAGTCACAGGGAGGCAAGACTAACACAAACAAACAAAAAACAGAATAGAGTAGAGTAGAGTAGAGTAGAGTAGAGTAGAGTAGAGTAGAGTAGAGTAGAGTAGAACAGAACAGAACAGAACAGAACAGAACAGAACAGAACAGAATAGAATAGAATAGAATAGAATTCTTTATTGGCCAAGTGTGATTGGACACCCAAGGAATTTGTCTTTGGTGCATATGCTCTCAGTATACATAAAAAGACAAGATACATTCCTCAAGAATCATAAAGTACAACACTTAATGATAGTCATAGGGTACAAATAAGCAATCAAATCATACTAGGAAACAATCAATATAAATTGTAAGGATACAAGCAACAAAGTTATGCCTCACTTATTATATAAGTCTTGGGGCCTTTGATACCAACCCATGTCTTAGGATCTTGTCATTTGTACATTTATTTTGGATAGGGGAACCAAATATTGGGTGAATGTGATTGTCATATTTTCTGCAGTTTCTTCATCCAAACTTCCTGTTCCTTTCTTGAGACAGAAGTTCCTTTCTTACTGCTGCTTCAAGGAAATGCAGAGAGGTGCCATGTTTTTGCACTTCAATCCATCTTTTTGCCTTAAAGTTTGAAGTGCTGTATAAAGGAGTCCCTGCAGATTTTACTTGCAAATATTTACTAGAGGGGGCAGTGCTCATCTCTGTTTCAAGACCATTGAGCCAGTGCTGTCCAAAGACATTTCCATGGTCATGCGGCCAGCATGGCATCATGGACCGCTATTACCTTCCCACCAAAGTGGTACCTATTTATCTACTTGCATTTGCATGCTTTCAAACTGCTAGGTTGCAAAGGACGGGAGCTCACCCTATCATGTGGCACTTGGGTCTTGAACCGGCCACATGATGGGGTCTTGGGTCTTGAACTGGCTTTCCAGGTGACAAGCCCAGCATTCTTAACCACTGAGCCACCCTGCCACCATAGTCCTGATAGTCACAAATAAATTCAGGTTGTCCAATATTCTACTTGGATGAGACAATGACTAGATCCCAGTGAAAGAAGCATATCTAAATGGCATTTGGATCTAAATGTTCCCACATTAATCATTTGTTGCTGGTTAGACACCATCCTCATTAGCATTTCCAGCGTAGGCAATATGTGCATTAATTAAATTAAAAGAGCCTCGGTGGTGCAGCAGACTAAAGTGCTGTTAAGTAGCACTTAGCTGCCAGCTGCCTGCAATTACTGCGAGTTCAAATCTCACCAGGCTCAAGGTTGACTCAGCCTTCCATCCTTCCGAGGTAGGTAAAATGAGAACCTGGATTGTGGGGGCAATAAGCTGACTTTTTATAAAAAAGAACACCGCTTGGGGGAGGGGGAAGTCCTACTAAGCAGGTATATACAAAAGTATGAAGGCTATTGCTTAACGCATTGTAAGCCGCACTGAGTCTCTGGAGAAGGGTGGCATATAAATCGAACCAAGAAAGAAAGAAAGAAAGAAAGAAAGAAAGAAAGAAAGAAAGAAAGAAAGAAAGAAAGAAAGAAAGAAAGAAGAGACTTGAGATGTTGGGGATATATGTTCCATAGATGACATATGACTCTCACCTTCTCCTATATACAAGTCAAAGAGTCTCTTGTGCAAATGCATGTTGTTCTTTTCTCCTCTTCCTAGAGGAGACCAAAGGCCTAAGACAGTGTTGTCCTTTTCCCGTTGCCCTCCCAGAACCTTTTCGGCACCGAGTCCTGAAATGGGAGTGCGCACGTGTGGGGGAGCACCGGAAACTGGAAGAGCAGTTCCCCGGAGTGTGTGTGCACACCGGGAAGCTGAGCTTCCGGTTTCCGGCATATACATGCGTGCCGGTCACCTGGTCTTCCAGTTTCTGGCATGCATGTGTGCACAAAGACCAGCTGGCCGGCGTGCATGCACACGCTGGAAACCAGAAGCTCAGCTTCCCGACAAGCGCATGTGCACCAGGGAGCTGCACTTCCGGTTTTTGGCATGCATGCACCCACAAAGACCAGCTGTCTGGTGTGCATGCACACGCCAGAAACCGGAAGCTCAGATTCCCGGAGCGTGCATGCATGCCAGGGAGCTGCTCTTCCGGTTTCCAGTGCTTCTGTGCACGTGAAGACTAGCTGGCCAGCACGCATGGAACCTGGAAGAGCAACAGGCGATGGCTGCCATGCCCAGAGAGATTGCTCTCACGCGTGCCATAGGTCGCCATCACAGGACTAAGAGTTTCCTGTTCGGCATTTTGCTTCTTTTCTTCTAATACTCCATTAGGTTGGTTCCAGGAAGTCTGCAACATCTGAGTAATAAAAACAGAGAGAAAAAGAGAATCACTAAATTGAACAAAATGTCTTCTTTCCGCTCATCTATTTTTTAATTCATTTTTAACAGCATTACAATTAACATTTATTGAGAAAACAGTTATTAGTTGTAATGTTATATCTAAATGAAACAGCTTTACAATGATATCATTTCCCATCTGTCCCAACTGGCTTCCTGCTAAAGATGATCGCCACACAGCAACGTACAATATTTGCAACAGAGGTAAAACAGGTTTCTGAACCTGAAGGCTTCTAAAACTTTTGAAATGTAAGAGCTAATCTATCCATTATTTTTTTTTAAATTATTTATCGCATTTAGAAACCACCCAGCTCCCTTACAGAGACACTCTGGATGGTGTACAAATGTTAACAACGTAAAAACTGAATGTAACAATTTAAAATAGGGCACAAATAATTAAAAATGTAGGTTTTAAATTCAAAATAGTTTGAGACACCTTGCTGCCCAGGTCCCCATCTAGGAAACAGAGTGATTTTTGTCACAAACCGTGCCACTAGGTAACTTCATTCATGCATTCTTTTTTTTTCTTTTTTTTAAAATTTGATTTATATGCCACCCTTCTCCGAAGACTCAGGGCGGCTTACAATGCATTAAGCAATAGCCTTCATACTTTTGTATATTTATACAAAGTCAGCTTATTGCTCCCACAAACTGGGTCCTCAATTTACCTACCTTAGAAAGGATGGAAGGCTGAGTCAACCTTGAGCCTTGGCGAGATTCGAACCCTGCAGTAATTGCAGGCAGCTGGTCTTAATAACCAGCTTAATAACAGGGTGCCTTAAACCACTGTACTACCAAGGCTCTTTTGCTGAAAAGCAGTTAGGAATAACCCTATATCGTTAAGAAAAGATGGCCGTTGGCAGAAATAGAACAATTTTTAAACTACAGGTAGTCCTTCACTTACAAACACTTGTTTAGCGACCTTTAAAGGTTACAAGGGCATTGAAAATAGTGACTTACGACTGTTTTTCACATTTATGACTGTTCAGCACCTTCATGGTCACATGATCAAAATTCAGGCACCTGGCAACTTCTAGTGCCATGAGATCACCATTCTGACAAGTGAAATCAATGCGGGAAGCCAGATTTGTTTAACAACTACTTGATTCCCTTAACAACGGCAGTGATTTGTTTAACAACAGTGGAACAAAAGGTCGTAAGGTGGGGCAAAATCAGGGGTGAAATCTACTTACCTTCCCTACCGGTTCAGAAGTGCACTGCGCATGTGCAGAGGGTAAAAAACAGGTTAAAACCAGGAAGTAATGACGACCGGGCAGGTGGGCGGAGCTTCGTGCTGCCATCGCTACTGGTTCTCCGAACCACCTGCCGCCATCACTACCAGTTCAGCTGAACCGGTCTGAACCGGTAGTATTTCACCCCTGGGCAAAACTCACTTTAGCAGCTGCCTTGCTAAGCAATTGAAATTTTGGACGCAACTGCAGTCGTAAGTCGAGGACCACCATAAAGGTATATTCCTAGATGCAGGAATTTTAACCATTGCTCAGCTTAATAAGCATGTAAGTCTTGTCTACCATAAGATCTGAATGTAATTTTATTTCGGCCCCCGCTCCTTTCTCCTTTTATCTGTGTTATATGATATAATGTTTAAAAACTATATTCTGAATTCCAGAGGATATATTTGTTCTCAAACAAATCAGTACCAGCAAAACTTCTGAGAAATGGCTGTCTAACTTGTGTTCAGTTTATTGTACTTCAGCATAATGATACACAGAAGGGAAAGGGGTTTGGAGAGCACCTTTATGAGCCTGAGTTTAGATATTCTGAAAATGCAAATGATATAAAAACAACATCTTTGTGAACCTGAAAGAACAGCCACCACGCTCCTGGCTAATGCTAATAACTTGAGAACAGAACAAGCAGGGCGAGTCAGTCACAGTTTGACAAGGTTACGTGCGAATAAACAAGGTATGCCTGTAATTCAGGACAGCCTGAACCTTACCCAGATGAAAGAATATGCCACCAATTACAATAATAGTCTTGCCCCAAATAGGTAAACTCATCTCCAGAATAATTATAGTTTTTGGATTAACATTGTGTGTGTCAAGCCTTAATTCAGTTCTGGCTTCAGCCGGAAAGTAGGTCTGATTTCTTCTTCGGAGGCCAACCAATGAAGGGCAGAGGCTCAGAATCGGAAATCAGGTTTTAGGAGAAGCAAAGCATTTAGGCCGAAGTCTGCCCAAACGGTCCCCATGTCTATTCAGTAAAACAGTTGCCCAATCTAAGGAAATGACAAGAGTGTTGCAATCCCAACATGTGACAGAATGAGGAGGAAGGGAAACGTGTTTAAAGATATGGGGAATATTCTCATCAACAGTAATATAATATAATTTAAATATAAATTCAGCTGAAATCAAATACTGGATTTCCCCCACTCCTGGCCCTGCCCATTTCTTTGACCTACACTTATCTACTTTTTATAGTTATTCTCACACAAGGAAGGGAGGAAGGGAGGAAGGAAACAGTAGTGGGTTTCAAATCCCGGCAGTACCGGTTCACTATTGGCAGCGTGCGGCGCTTCTGCACATGCGCAGAGCATTTTTGATGACGTCTGGGCGGGTGGGCGGAGCCCCCTGCCACTACTAGTTCACCCTGGTTCGGGTAGCAATCCACCACTGGAAGGAAGGAAGGAAGGAAGGAAGAAAAAGAAAAAGAAGAAAGAGAGAGAGGAAGGAAAGAGAGAAAGAAAGAAAGAAAGAAAGAAAGAAAGAAAGAAAGAAAGAAAGAAAGAAAGAAAGAAAGAAGCATATCTCCATTATCCCTTTTTTTTTTTAATTTGATTTATATGCCGCCCTTCTCTGGAGACTCAGGGTGGCTTACAATGCGTTAAGCAATAGCCTTCATACTTTTATATATTTATACAAAGTCAGCTTATTGCCCCCACAAACTGGGTCCTCAATTTACCTACCGTAGAAAGGATGGAAGGCTGAGTCAACCTTGAGCCTGGTGAGATTCGAACTTACAGTAATTGCAGACAGCTGGTGTTAATCACAATGCTATCAGTCTGCTGAGCCACCAGGCCCGTTGATAAGGGTTAGCAGGCTTACCTTACAACTGGAACAGTGGTGGGTTTCTACTGGCTCGCCCTGGTTCGGGCAAACCGGTTGCAGCAGCGGGAGGCTCCGCCCACCCAACCGGACATCATCACAGGCACCTCACATGCGCAGAAGCGCCATGCATGAGCAAAGCGCAAGCGCACTCTCACAGTTCTGAACCAGTAGCGAAGGTAAGTGAAACCCAATACTGAATTGGAAGGTCATCTTAAACAATCAGGGCTTATTCTTCTGGAGTTGTCAAGAGGCAGATTCTTGGTGACAAAGAAACAATAAATTAATTAATATTTACTCTGGTGTTCCATAGAGACCATCTAAGCCTGCTGTGGATGATTTGCTGTCTGCTTTGGATTTGCCGATTCCTACTTCAGATGTCATGCCACCCCTGAATTTTAATATGTAAAAATCATAATTCTGTAGTTCTCTAAAGTGAAACGCCTATATACAATCGTTGATAAACCTGTGTATAATCCTTAACAGATTTTTCTTTTTCTTTGGGAATCAGATTTCCAACGAAGCCCTTGCAAATATTAGGACCATTGCTGGGATTGGAAGGGAGAAAACTTTTATCAATGTTTATGAGAAACAGCTAGAAGCCCCCTACAGAGCAGCTATTAAAAAAGCGAACGTTTACGGCGTTTGTTATGGCTTTGCACAGTGTGTTTTGTTCATAGCCAATTCTGTCTCTTACCTATACGGAGGATTTTTAGTCGAAAAGGAAGGACTTCACTACAGCTACGTATTTAGGTAAGAAACCCCCCCTACAGAGGTACCATTTCTTTAAACACCACGGAATCTATGAATTCTCATATTGTTACAGACAAATATCTGACTGGGAAAGCTAAACAATGTTCAAAAAGATGGAAGAGGGGAGGATATAAAATATTGTGATCACTAAATAAAGAATGGTCCTCCATGTCAGGAGATATTTTACAAATATGTGTAAATGGGCAAATAGAATAGAATAACAGAGTTGGAAGGCACCTTGGAGGTCTTCTAGTCCAACCCCCTGCTTAGGCAGGAAACCCTATACCATTTCAGACAAATTATTATTCAATCTCTTCTTTAAAACTTCCACTGTTGGAGCATTCACAACTTCTGGAGGCAAGTTGTTCCACTGATTAATTTTGTAACTGTCAAGAAATTTCTCCTTAGTTCTAGGTTCCTTCTCTCCTTGATTAGTTTCCACCCATTGCTTCTTGTCCTACCCTCAGGTGTTTTGGAGAATAGCTGGGCTCCCTCTTCTTTGTGGCAATCCCTGAGATATTGGAATACTGCTATCATGTCACCCCTAGTCCTTCTTTTCATCAGACAGACATGCCCAGTTCCAGCAACCGTTCTTCATATTTTAGCCTCCTAATCATCTTTGTTGCTCTTCTCTGCACTCTTTCTAGAGTCTCAACATTGTTTGTACATCATGGCGACCAAAACCGGATGCAATATTCCAAGTGTGGCCTTACCAAGATGTTAACATATAATTTAAAATCAAATTCTGGAGATTAGGCAATAAAAAAGGGAGGCCTCTAATTTTTACTTGTCAGCTTCTCAATCCCAATTTGCTGGTCCTGGATGAAAACCCAACCAGAGACTTTTCACCTGATTCAACAAGGCTTTTTATATATATATATAAAGTGTCCTGCAAACTGAGACATGTCTTTTCCAATTTCAGGGTGATTTCCTCCATTGTTACTAGCGGAACTGCTTTGGGAAAAGCGTCCTCTTATACCCCAAATTATGCCAAGGCTAAAATAGCAGCCGCCCGTTTTTTTCAGCTGGTGGATCGGATTCCCCGAATCAGTGCGTACAGTGACGCCGGAGAAAAATGGGTAAGAAAATAATTGCTGTTATTCGAATCACATAATTGTAGGATTGGAACGATCCAAAGGTCAGACAGTTCTCTGCCGCCCTCGAGCAAATGAGATTACAGTGTGCTGTGTGCCAGGAAACGAAAGGGAAAAGAGCAACATGTCCTGGCATCTCTCTGGTGGGCACAATGTCAGCTCAGTGTTGAGCAAATAATACATGTTTAGGACAATACCAAGGCACTCTGGTGCCAAGCAATAATATTTGCTCATAGACACTGTGATTATGGCTTGACGCGTTTTGTCCTGTTCTTTATATCCCAGAAGACATAATATCCAAGGAGAACTGCTTGGTGTAGTAGTTAAAGTGCTAGATTAGGAGCAGGAAGAGTCAGATTCTAATCCACCCTTGGGCACAATAACCAGCTGCGTGACCATAGGGCAGACATCATGTCTGCAACCTGGATAGGGAAGTCAAAAAACATCTATCAATTTGCACTGGAAAAGTATGGTAGATGAGTTACGGAGGCGCAGTGGTTAGAGTGCAGTACTGCAGGCAACTTCTGCTGACTGCCGGCTGCCTGCAGTTTGGCAGTTCAAATCTCACCAGGCTCAGGGTCGATAGCCTTTCATCCTTCCGAGGTGACAACCCAGATTGTTGGGGACAATATACTGACTCTATAAACTGCTTAGAGAGGACTGTAAAGTGGTATATAAGTCTAAATGCTATTGCTATTACGATCTATAACTTTGATAACAATAGCCATGGCAACCAATAATGTTTTTTAATGAAATGTTCTCTTTTCAAGTTTTGGATAATTTTTGCTTCCCAATGCCTGTCTGGTCCCTTATCAAAATTTGCCAACCAGGCCCCAATTTTATTCTAGTCCTCCAGTTAGAGAACTTCTTAAGTCACTTTTGGATGCAAAACACCAGGTGAATTCATGCAACAATTATAGTCAACAAGTAAGCCAAATTACTAATATTGTGCACAAGAAATAAAACCGGAACTGAGGTACAGGTAGTCCTCACTTAACAACCACTCTGTTTAGTGACCATTCAAACTTAACAATCATGCTGAAACAGTAGCTGTACAATCAGTCCTTGAACTTACGACTGTTGCAGCATCCTTATGTCATGTGACCAAAATTCAGGCGCTTCACAATTGGCGCTGCAGATTTGTGATGGTCATGGCGTCCTGCGGTTACATCATCACTATTTGCAACCTTCACAGCCGACTCCTGACAAGCAAAGTCATTGCGGAAGTCAGGCAGAAAGTCACAAGTGGCGGTCGCATGATGTTAAAGGAGTCACTCCACAACTGCATCAGAACAGATGTTGTAAATTGAGCACGGCTGCCTGATGGTTTCCCTTAAGGATTGAATTGCTCTGTGATGGAGTTGCTCGCCCCAATTGCAGTCATTGTGTGAGGATGACCTGTACCGAAAATAGCAAATAAACCTAAATATATCCTGTACAAACTTCCTTGTTTTGTAGGTCAGGATTATAGATTTCCTTTCAGTTACTCTGCATCAGGACAGAAAGAAGTGGTAGTTGTGGGTTTTTTTCTACCCTTGTAATCTAATAAATCTGCCGGAAGCAACGTTTCGTTGTGCCTTTGCTTGGGAATACTGGTGGAATTAGCCGCCCAGCTCAATTGCCCCATCAGCAAAATGGAGAGAGATCAGTATCTAAAGGGCAGAAACAGCTATTTCCCTCTATTAATCTCTCCCACCCCCCACCATTAAAGCAGTCTGAGGGGATGGGAGTTTTTCTGTGCTCCACTTTCAAAATGTGCTTTTCCTTGTTACGTTGCTTTGAAGTGCTTGAGCACTTCAGTTGGTTACAAGCTAACCCCAGCAGTTTATTGTCTACTTCATAGGAGGAAGATACCCCTCAACATGTGTACGTGCGCGCACACACAGAGACACACACATAACCACACACACACTTTAACTGAACCAGTGCTTATCATGCTCCATAGACTACTTTCATGGCAGCCTTTTCTATTATACACATTATAATGAATGCCAGCAATAATGGTCCCTGTAAGGGTTAGGGTTTCCTAAACTGTGAGATGTACCTCCCCACTGAGAGGAGGCTTCGAAGCATTTCTAGCAGGACTACCAAGTTCCGTAACAGCTTTGTTCCCTAGGCCTAGACCATCCGTCTGGTAAACTCGCAAGATGCGTTTTTCTTGCCATGTACATGTACACATCCAGACTGGGTTGCTTCTCTGTGTCATATAATATATGTGGCTATATGCATAATTTTGTATGTGTGTATGTATTTGTTTATTTCTTTTGTCATGGTTATGTAGTGTATATTGGAGGTGTGACTCTTAAAGAGCTGAATGCAACAAAATCTCATTTTAATGTATGCCGATTAGTGTACATTTAAAGTGACAATGTAAAGTGACAAAGTGACATGGTGGCTCAGTGGCTAAGATGCTGAGCTTGTCGATCGAAAGGTCGGCAGTTCAGCAGTTCAAATCCCTAGTGCCGTGTAACGGGGTGAGCTCCTGTTACTTGGCCCAGCTTCTGCCAACCTAGCAGTTCGAAAGCACATTAAAAATGTAAGTAGAAAAAATAGGGACCACCTTTGGTGGGAAGGTAACAGCGTTCCGTGTGCCTTTGGTGTTTAGTCATGCCGGCCACGTGACCACGGAGAATTCTTTGGACAGCACTGGCTCTTCAGCTTTGAAACGGAGATGAGCACCGCCCGCTAGGGTTGGGAACGACTAGCACATATGTGCAAGGGGAACCTTTACCTTTACCTAAAGTGACAAAGTTATTCTATTCTATTCTATTCTATTCTATTCTATTCTATTCTATTCTATTCTATTCTATTCCATTCCATTCCATTCCATTCCATTCCATTCCATTCCATTCCAGATATGCAGTAAAATACATGGTACACTGGAGAATCCTCTGTTTAGAGACATTGGCCAGTAGGATTTGTTTGAAATGTTTTGACCTGAGGCAAAACCATGAACTTCAAAACTCTAGTGCAAGTCCTAATACCACACTGTGGATTCATTCAACTCTTGAAGTTGTTAGACAGTTGTAAACGAAGCATTCATTTAATGCTTATATACTTTCAATACTAATTAGTGATTCTATGGTTTTAGTGTCATCTATAAAAGGAAAGAGTCAGTGGCAAATGGTTGACAAAATATATTTCTTAAAATTTAACTCTCATACATTATACGAATTGGCCTTGAATCCGCTGATATCTGCCCTTTCATTGAAGTTGTTCAATGTTCAACTTTCTTTGAAGATTTGTTAGCATACATCAAAGTACAAATCAGATTAAAATATTATTTTCTTGTTCTCCTTTCACAAAACATTAACTTTTTACAAATGAAAACGGAATAGGAAATCTTTGCGCTGTGCTGAATGCAAATGGATTTCAGTTTTATCTGCTTCCAGTTGATTGATTTAAAGAGTGACCTGTGTCAGCTTTGGGAACTACAGAAAAAAACATTCATTAGCTTCCTAAGAGAGTCATTTGCCAATTCTGAAGCAGGATTTTCTTTTTGCTGTTGTATAATCAGGATAATTTCCATGGAAGAATTGAATTTCTCAACTGTAAATTCACGTATCCATCTCGTTCTGATACCCAAGTGCTAAAAGGCCTCTTGGTGTCTGTGAAATCCGGGCAGACCCTTGCCTTCGTTGGCAGCAGTGGATGTGGGAAAAGCACCTGTGTTCAACTTCTGGAGAGGTTTTATGATCCTGATGAAGGAAAAGTGGTAAATAGCCTTTGTTGCTTTGATAACATAAAAGTACTAATAACTGAATCTGCAATTCGGTCTTCATATATCAGCTGTATCAGTGGCGGAATTCAAATTCTTTTACTATCATTTCTGTGGGTGTGGCTTGGTGGGCGTGGCAGGGGAAGGATACTGCAAAATCTCCATTCCCACCCCACTCTGGGACCAGCCAGAGGTGGTATTTGCCAGTTCTCCGAACTACTCAAAATTTCCGCTACCAGTTCTCCAGAACCTGCTGAATTTCACCCCTGAGCTGTATGTTCTATGACCTAGACCAGTGTTTTTCAACCTTGGCAACTTTAAGACATGTTCGACTTCAGCTCCCAGAATTCCTCAGCCAACTTGGGAATTCTGGGAGTTGAAGTCCACATGTCTTAAAAGTTGCCAATGCTGAGAAACACCACTCTGGAAATTAACAATTCCCTCCCCCCCCTTTTTTTTTAAAAAAAGGCCTCTTTGAAATCCTTGTAAAAATCCCTTCAATTCCTTGTAAATACATATTCCCATCAATCAATTTCTCAGTGCAGTTTTCTTTGCAATAATAAAGATGTGCAAATAAATTTATAGATAAATAAATACATTATCCATTTCATATAGATCAGGGGCAGTATTCACTTACCTTCACCACCGGTTCGCAAATGTGAGCACACGCGCACGCTTGCTTCGCTTGGACATGCCACCTCCACGCATGCGCAAGGCCTTCCGCGCAAACACAGAGCATCAAAAACGGGACGTGATGACATCCGGGCGGGTGGGCGGAGCCTCCCGCAGCCACCGCTATCGGTTCACTCAAACCGGATAGAATTGGCTGAATACCACCACTGATATAGATGCCCATTTCATTTTTAGTGACTCTGGGCAACTTACAGTAAAACAAATAAAATGCATAAAATACACAGTATAAAAAAGCAAATAAAAATAAAACATGTAGCAACCAGGTATAAAATAAGTGAAGAAAGGAGCATTATATATGTTCACCCCCCTTATAAAGTTACTTATAAAATAATAAGGGCGTGATAAAAATCAAATCAATAAAAAAAAATGGAACCAATCACCCACACAATCAAGAAATATATGTCATGCCCAGTGCCCCAGAATCAGGCACAAAGCTACGTTTTCAAGGCCTTACAAAAATCAGATCCAACAGGGATAAAACCAACCTAATCTCTCTCTTTCTAGTTCCTGCCAGCCAACACTCCCTAGTACATGGTACCCAGAGCATGTCCCTCGTGCCAGATTGGGTGGAAAGAGTTGGGAAGAGATGGTCCTATAAATAACCCAGTCCTTTTTGGGGGGTTTTTTGCTTTGCTTTTTTAAACTTCTCATTGTACAATCCTGATATTTCCCAATGACTTTCCATCCAAGTACTAAGTAGATCTAATCTAGTTTAACTCTTTGAAGTCAGATAAGATCAGGTAGGCTGGCGGTAGGAGGATTGGCGTGGGAAGATAGACTTCATAGAATAGATTTCACATATCAATATTTTGTTGCAGGTTTTGCTTCTCCCACATATATCATGGAGGTAAATTCAAACTGAGACCTTCAAATCTTTAATTCCAGAATTAGGCATGGGGGTCTTCAGGGGGAAAATGCCAAAACAAGTGTCGTGTGTATGCTATGCATGCATGTTTGTGCAAGGTCACACATTTTATCATTCTGACAAAAACCCTGAGATTCTGCAGAACTCTTAGCTTGCAAATGTATTTTTTTACTAATGAAGAGCCGTGCAATTCTCCACACAGATTGTGGTGCTTAAATTTCACACATGTCAGCAAACACAAGCAAAGGTTTGAACAAGAAATCTTAATTTTGTACCAAAGACATTTTGTATGTTTTGTGTTTTTGATGTACAGCTGATAGATGGCCGTGACACCCGACAAGTAAACATCCGCTTTCTTAGATCTAAAATAGGAATAGTTTCTCAGGAACCTGTGCTGTTTGACTGTAGCATTGTCGACAACATTAAATACGGTGATAACAGCAGAGAAATATCTATGGATGAAGTGATAACAGCTGCCAAGAAAGCTCAATTGCATGAATTTGTGATGTCACTCCCCCAAGTAAGTACCATTTTTAAAATCCTATGTGATAGAAAGAAAACTGGTCTGAACATTCTCTTCACTGTTGGTTTAACATATTCTCAATACTTCTGTTCACAATAATGTTTTGAGTAGTTTGCCTTCGGCTTTCATTTCTTCTATTGTGAATTGTTTGGCTATCTCACCTATAGATCTATGATAGCCTAATTCAGGGGTCCCCAACCCCCGATCTGTGGACCGGCACTGGGCCGCGGCATGTCAGAAACCCCATCCACGGGATACAGGCAGCACATAAAACCATGCCCCCTGCAGTTCGTGGAAAAATCTCTCTCCACGGAAGTGGTCCCTTGGTGCCTAATTTACTGTTCCAGTTAGGCTTGTTCGCTTCTTTAGAATCCAGGAATCCCCTTGAGAATATCTGCAGGGTCTCTTGCTTGTTTCCTAATTGACTCACCACTAGAAAGATGACAAAAAAAGGAAAATCCAGGCACCGAATCACAAGTTCCAAAAATGTGTTCTCAGAATTATGAAAGAGTTGTTACATTCCAAACACATGCCTTAATCCTCAAATCTTTTGAAATATGTTCATGAAGAGTAGGAAGCCACACCAGTGGTGAAATCTAAAATTCGTTACTACCGGTTCTGTGAGCATGGCTTGGTGGGGAGGGTGGTAATGTGACTGGGTGGGCGTGGCCAATTTTTTTTTTTTACTTTTAAAACCATTTTTTCTACAACCACTTTGGTGAAGAGGTTGTAAAAAATGCTTTCAAAAGGCTCTGATGATCCCAGTTGAGTTGCCTGATCAGCAGAGGCTTTTTTTCTTTTAAAAGCCTCTGCCGATCAGGCAACTAAACTTGGATCGTCAGAGGCATTTAAAAGAAAAAAAGCCTCTGCCGATCAGGCAACTCAGCTGGGATCGTCAGAGGTTTTTTTTTTTTTTTACTTTTAAAAGCATTTTTTCAGCCGAAGAGGTTATAGAAAAAATGCTTTTAAAAGTAAAAAAAAAAGCCTCTAATGATTGTGCGGCTCAGCTGAGTATTGGGGGGGGGGCAGGGATTTTTGCTACCAGTTTTCTGAACCACCTGCCTCCATCACTACCGGATCGGGCGATCCAGTCCGAACCGGGAGCATTTCACCCCTGAGCCACACTCTTAGTTTAATCTCTCACAAGGTTGTTGTGAGGATAATATGGGAACCAAAATCCTGTCTCCTGCCTGTTGTGATTGGCAGGATAAAAATGTCTTGTTAATAAAGCAAAGGAGCCCTTTAGTTGACCAGAGACTACAGCTATGTGCCTTTTTGATGATTTCCCATTAAAGTATTAATCAGGACAAACTCCGCTTAGCCTTTGACCTCAGTCAAGGCCACGTTGTGAACTGCATGGTCTATACTCCAGCCATGGGGTCTCCTGGTGGTCTCCCATCGAAGAGGTAACCAGTCCTGATTTGCTTCATTATTTCCACGATCAGCTAGCCGCTGTCACTTGCTGTGGCTGTAGAATCTCTGCGACTGTAGAATCTTTTGGATAACTTTTACCCTGGTTGAGCTAAAGCTCATTCTATCTAATAATATAAATCTATTCATTTTCTTAAAAAATCACTCAGTAGCTTTCCATGGCTTACTTATAAAGCATTCAACTAAAACAGGAGAGTCAAACTCAAGGCCTGTAGGCCGGATGCAGCCCGGGGGGTGCTTCGATCTGGCCCACGGGGTCAGCCTGGAAATAGCAAAGGACCAGCCTGTGGTGCCTCTGCTTACGAAAATGGGGCAAGGGTGTATGTGTGCGCGCAGCCCACCCTGTGCCCCATTTTGGCCAGCAGAGTGCTGCAGGAAGCCATCCAGGTAGTTGTCCCATCTGCTGTCTGTCCTGTCTCCCCCACCCATCCACCCCCAGCTGGCCCATGGGGGACAACTATAATGCTGATCCAGCCCTTGAAGAAATCCAGTTTGACACCCCTGAACTAAAAAGACCCAATTTCAATACAAAAAATCAACCCAGACTTACGGTAATAATAACACAAGGCATTTTCCGGTTTGCTTCTTAATTGAAGGTTTCTCCTCCCATAAAATAAAAGAATGTTAGAATAAAAGCAATGAAGTAGCTTCATTTTCTCACCACCCTAATTGTATTTTTTTGTTCTTGTGGTAAACAAAATCAGCGAGCCAATAAATATTGGGGTTTTTTGCTTTTTTTTTTGCAGCAATATGAAACCAATGTTGGGGCTCAGGGGTCTCTACTGTCTCGAGGGCAAAAGCAGCGCATTGCCATCGCACGAGCCATTGTTCGAGACCCTAAGATCTTATTACTGGATGAAGCCACTTCTGCACTGGATACAGAAAGTGAACAGGTAAATGGATCTAGGGAAAGAAATGCTGAGTATCAAGGAGCAAAAACATTTGCCTTTTATTATTTTATTAATTTCATTATTAGATTTTTTTTTTAAAAAAAATCCCCACCTTTATAAGTAACTCAAATTGGAGACCATATATAACATACTCCTTCCTCTGTGAGGTGGGTGGGCTGAGGGGGACTGATCAAAGTCCAGCTTTCATGCCTAAGGTGGAACTAGAACTCATAGTCTCCTGGGTTTTAGGCCAGCACTTCTATTCACTACTATACCAAATGGGCTCTAAAATAATTTTATGAGTTCAGATATCAGATAACTAAAATACACTTAATGGAGCATTGAGAATATACAGTATATTCATGCAATCACTTGCTGTTGAGTTCAAAAGCAACTTAGTCTCAAGTAACTAGATCAGGGGTGAAATCTAGCAGGTTCTGACAGGTTCTAGAGAACTGGTAGTGGAAATTATGAGTAGTTTGGAGAACCAGCAAATACCACCTCTGGCTGGCCCAAGAGTGCAGTGGGAATGGAGATTTTGCAATATCCTTCCCCCTGAAGTGGGGAGAAATGGGGATTTTGCAATATCCTTCCCCTGGAGTAGGGTGGGAATGGAGATTTTGCAGTATCCTTCCCCTGCCACACCCACTATGCCATGTCCACCAAGCCACGCCCATAGAACCGGTAGTAAAAAAAATTGAATTTCACTACTGAACTGGATGTAAAATCTCAGTCTTAAAAGGAGGGAAGGAAAGGATGTACTCACTTCATTGTTATTTGGAGGCTATTTGGGGGTATGAAAATTAAAAAGGGCTGTAAATTGTAACTGAATCTGAATGCACACGTGCAGTAGGTAAAGTACAGTACAATATACTCATTGTATAGAGTCAACAGCTGAGAAGTTAGTTGAAGAAAGTAAAAAAGGCACACTTGCCAACATGGCTGTTGTTACAGATATCATTGAATCCAAGAAATTCCCCCAACTGCAAATTCAGGCTACATTTATACGACACCTTGAATGGCCCAATCACCTTTAGCCACCATATACCTAGCTCAAGTAGTTAGCGTGTAGTGAGAATTCAATGTATGGAATCAACACAGCAGCATGTAGATGGCTTCTTCTAAATCCATCAGAGCCAGCTTTGCCCTTTGATGACAGTAGCAATAAATGATGGTCTACCTCTCTGAAAAAAATGGCACAGATTGGACCTTTACAGACTTCCACCACTGTAAAGAAGGCAAGTACCAAAGGCCATGTTTCCAGAGTCATGTTACAACTCTACTACGATAGTATCCAAGCTTAACTTTTGTTAACATCCTGAGTGAAGAATTTATCCATGGATTTGCCATTGGAATATATTGGAGTCTGTTGCGTCTCTGCCAGGTTGCTCCATTGTAGTCATAATTTGATCCATCTGGTGATGCTTAAGTACATATCTCTGCTGTTGCCAATATTCCAAAATTGATGGCCTCTGAATGCCTTCTAGTCCACCAAGAAGCTAAGGGGAAAGTTGAGATCCAGGGAAGATTTGAGAAATGATAGGGCAGCAGCCAACTGCTCCATGTCCTGTTCTCCAAACTTTTCTGGACTGCTGAGAGAATTACAGCTCTGAGGAGCCGAGTGTATTGATACCTGTCCCTGGCAACTTGCACACTGAATTCATGGAAGTGGAAGCAGATTTGCCGTGCTTGCAAATTATTGCTTAACCCCGCATGTGACCATGGAGACTGGAGTTGTGGACTGTAGGAGCTCTTATGTTCTCTTCCTCTTTGAATTCACTGAATGGTTGGGGAGGGTTTTCGACACAACTAAACTGAGTTGATCAATGCCTTTCCCAAAACAAAGTGACCTATATTCGTATTATATAACGTATATAACTTGTCATGCTGACCATGTAAAGACTCCTTCTCTTTCTCTTTTTCACTTTTCCCTTCAGACTGTGCAGGCTGCCCTGGACAAAGCTCGAGAAGGCAGGACCTGCATCGTCATTGCGCACCGCTTGTCCACCATTCAGAATTCAGACATCATCGCTGTCATGTCTCAGGGAGTCATCATTGAGAAGGGCACACATGAAGAACTCATGGCCCAGGAAGGGGCATACTATAAACTGGTCACCACGGGGGCACCCATTAGCTGAGCTTCTGCACTCCCTGTGGAGATTGTGTTCATTTTCTTAAGGGACGTGCTAAAACCATTATGAACATATCAACCAGCAAAAGATGACTGTGCTGTGATATAGAACGATGCACCTATGCTGGCACAACCACTTTAATCAAGAAAGTGAAGCTCCGAAGGCCAGCTTTTGACTGAGCTGTTCTCTCAAACCATTATATAACAGAATAACAGAGTTGGAAGGGACCTTGGAGGTCTTCTAGTCCAACCCCCTGCTTAGGCAGGAAACCCTACACCACTTCAGACAAATGGTTATCCAACATCTTCTTAAAAACTTCCAGTGTTGGAGCATTCACAACTTTTAGAGGCAAGTTGTTTCACTGATTAATTGTTCTAACTGTCAAGAAATTTCTCCTTAGTTCTAAGTTGCATCTATCCTTGATTAGTTTCCACCCAATGCTTCTTGTCCTGCCCTCAGTTGCTTTGGCGAATAGCTTGACTCCCTCTTCTTTGTGGCAGCCCCTGAGATATTGGAACCACTGCAACTGTTGTGAAGAAAATGGCAGCCATCTACTGGAGAAGTGAGATTATACAGGAAGAGTGCTCAGGAACCTTTTCAATCACAAAGTCTCCATAAGTTATTTTTATATCTATTTCCATTGCTCCTGCATTTGCAATATCAAAGAAGCCTAATGAACTTCGTTGTGGATCCAGAGGGAGGTTCTGTTCAGCATTCAATGCAAATGGTGGCATTGAACTATATTTCCTACTGCTCCATCATCATCATCATCATCATCATCATCTCGCTCTCAATGATTCTGGGTGGTTCACAACAATCAAAGAAATGACAATGAAATCAATAAAAATGAAGAAAATGAAGATAAAGGATGGCAAGAGCGATGAAGTGAGGGATCTCTCTCTCCCTTACCAAAGACCTCCCTTACCAAAGAGCCTGGTCCTCCTAGCTTCTAAACAACAGTAGAGTGGGGGACCACCCACATCTTGGGGGACCCTCGCTCCAGAGGGCAGGTGCTGCAAGAGAGAAGGACGTATTCACCATTATGATGGGGAAATACCAGACGCTGATTCTTACATCCATAAAAGAGCAATATTGAAACCTGACTCTGCGAATCTCTAGGGACTCTCTTATGTATACAATTCTGTGTGTAATGGTTCTCTACGTAGTGTTCAAAGCACTTTGGCCAGATTACAAAATACAATTATTCTATTCACTGCCAGTGAGACAATTAGCCATTGCAATTTCCCAAAGGGTCGTCATTTCTTTTGCAGGAAAAACCCCCGAACTCTTTACAAAATAATACATTTATTAATGTATATTACTGCCCACTAATCCAGCACCTACAGTAAGTAGATTGAATGCATCTCGCTTGTTAGATGAGTGTCCCATTAAAGGATATTTGATGGAGAAAGCCTGATCACTGCGTATAGGACAGAAAGAAACAATAGCAGGAAAAGAATAAAAACTCAGAGAATTAAACAGCAATGCAGCCCTGCTACTTTTAACGTGCACAGAGAAATTCAGCGGGAGATTAAATCATGCTTGAGAAATAGTGTAAGCAGATGGTAAAGACTGTTACTAAATCAAGCAGTTGTACTTTATTGAATCCCTTTATCCAAAGCAGCTGAATCTACTTTGTCAGTGGATTCCTAAGGGCCTTTCAGAGTCTTGTTGTCTTACATCCTTAACCAGGAGATCCTTATGAACCAGACCAGAATCATTTATATACAAGAACTTGCATTCTACTGCCGGAGCTCATTCCATAGTGGCCAAAACTTCTTTGTCAAGGTCCCCTTATCTCAAAACGGGATGGAACAACTTGCCATGGCCAACTTGTCACAGGACAAGGCACAGCCGCCAACTCTTCATGGGACAATCTGACAATTCAATTTAATTATTTAAAATAATTAAAAGGATTATTTTAGTTTTTCTCATTCACAGTTCATTTTGTTCCTCTTTTTGCATCCTTTCTTTAATGATTCTGTTCCACTGTTTCTTCAGTATTAGTGTAAATCTTGTTCCATGACAAGTTGTTCCACAGCAAGTCGGCTGTGATGAGTTGTCCTGTGGCAAATTGGCCGCAGTGACTTGGCTGCAGCAAGTTGTCCTAAACCCATCGCAAAGCCATGCTCCGTGCTAAAGCCTGTACCTGTGTAGACCAGGGATGGGTTCTACTTACCTTTACTACCAGTTCGCAGCGGGGTCATGCACGCGCAGAAGCATTTTGATGATGTCGGGGTCGGTGGGCGGAGCCTCCCTCTGGTTTTACTACTGGTTCTATAGAACCGGTGCAACCGGGGGCAATCCACCACTGGTGTAGACCCATAAACCAGAGGGAAACTGGAAAATCAACAGGGTTGTTTCTGTCAGTGCTGCAGAAATTGGAATCTTGTGAATAAAGGGGATTGAAAAAGACTGATAAAGGCAAATACCCCTTGGAGGTGAGGAAGGTGGCTTGTTCATGGAGTACCTAAAACAATAAAAAATGCAGCAGGTCAAGGTGTGAAGCTCTAACATTCGGGAGCTGTTTTTATGAGGACAAAGAAGCAAAGACACAGCCAAGATCAAGACTGGACCATCAAGTCACATTGATGCTTTTCAGTTGGCCATTTATCTAACTGGCTCCATAAATACTAATTTCAGTTTTAATTTAAGCAGTTACAATTCCTACCTTTGTATCCTTCATCCAGCTATGAACCTTTTAGCACCTAATGCTGTTGTTTTTTTTAAATTCTAGTTTAATTTTTAATTTAAGCAGTTACAGTTCCTACCTTTGTATCCTTCATCCAGCTATGAACCTTTTAGCACCTAATGCTGTTGTTTTGTTTTTTGATTGTTTCATGTAGAGCTGCCATATGGATATTTTTGTCCCCAAGTCTTCCTCTTCCAAATGACTAGATTTTATAGCAAAATGTCAGACAGTGCTTATCAAATTGTTCGATGGAATTTTATTTCCCTGGTAGCCAGTGTATAAAGTGTATAGATTTGTTTTACATGTGTTTTCATGTCAGTGTTGATTGCCGGCATCTGCCTGGACAAGCCCCTGGAGTTTTCTTGGCAAGGTTTCAGGAGTTGTTTGTCACTGCCTCCTTCCTAGGGCAGAGAGAGAGGGACTGGCTCAAGATCACCCAGATGGTTTCATGTCTAAAGGAGGACTGAACTCATAGCTCCGTTTTCGCTGGCAGAGGGCTGCAGGAGGCCTTTGCAGTCAAAAATGAGGCCCAAGGGGCCGTGCATGCCCCCCCCCGTTCTGTTTTCACTGGCGGTGGGCTAGCGAAACAAACTAAAAACAAAACAAAATGAGAAATGTTTTCCCTTTTGCATTTGAGCATGCAAGAAGGGATAGGAAAGGAGAAAGGGAAAGAGGAAAGACAAAGAAGGAAAGACGGGAAGAGAGCAAGGAAAGAAAAATAAGGAAAGAGGGGAAGGAAAAAGAAAGAATGAAGAGAGAAGAGGGGAGGAAAAAGAAGAAGGAAGGAAGGAAGGAAGGAAATAAACAAACAAACAAACAAACAAACAAACTATAATGAGAGTGAGAGAGGGTCTGAGGGAAGTCCTGCATTAGCCTTTGACTACCACAGGTGCCCCTGACACGAGTGACATCTAGCTGGCCATGCCTACCCTGCCCCCCACCCCCAGGTCAAACACAACCCTGTTGCGGCCCTCAATGAAATCGAGTTTGACACCCCTGCCTTAAGCAGAGCAAAAGTAAGTTTCTCCAACTTTTTTCCCCATGAAGTTTCTGAAGGCTAACCCTATCTAAGCAAAGCAATGGTCCTGACCTTGAGTGGTCCTTACTCCTTAAAAGCTCAGACAATTGAAGAGGGGGATAAGTCACAGTAGAAGCTTAGCTGGGTGCTGCCTTAAGTGAAAGGGTTTAAAACAAACATTAATTATAGGGGTTATCATCAACTGGAACATCTCCTCGTGTACCCCTTTAAATATTACTTGGCAACTCCCAAATCTTAATACCCACGGCAACACTTTGCCACCTCACTGGGAAACATTTGTGTAGCCAAAAAGGGAATATTAAATTAAAAACTAGAATCCCCTTGGGTGGCTATTAGCCATTTATAGAGAGGACGATTAACAGGGGAAAATAATTGGGATTGCAACTTCCACAACTCAACAGTAGTTCCTAAATCCCTTGCTCCAAGCTAGAACTTTCCATGCATTGCAAATTAGATTCACGAGGTGACATTCCTGCCACTTGTAGTGTGTTTCCCCCTTTGCTTCAAGTAGCAAAATAGCAGGGGCTGATTTTGTCTCTCACACATCGAAGGCTCGGTATCCTGTAGGTATTTTGTTTAAAAGGGTGGACTGATGATGTCAGCTATCCCTGCAAACCTTCTTGCCGACGAATTAAATCCGGAAAGATTGTATGTGTAACCATTGTTTTGGGTTATTTGGTCTACGTATTCATTTAATATTGATTCAGCTGCATTCAGGAGCTGAACATTACTAAGCTATGGCATTCAAAATGTGAGGCTATTTAAGAGAGGTTTAATATATACAGTATGCCCCATTTGTACTTTCCATTGTACAGTTGGGAGAAGCCAGGGAGAACACTGAAATACAAGTAGGATTTTAAAAGGGGGAAAAAATAGCTGCAAAATATAGACCATTAGAATAGGCTTCCTGAAAAATCAGGAAGTGCAATTCTTAAAGAAGCAATTATTTTTGCTTCACATAGTCAAAATAAAAAATAAAATCTGAAGACTATGTTTACAGTCACCATTGGGAAAAACCACACTTTGTTTGGTTTATAGATATAGATGCTATCCATATAGATGATTTATAGATATAGATGATATCCAAACAAAATCCTCCAGAAAAGAAAACATTTTTCAGCAGTCATAAAGTGGCTGCTGGATGCCATTTTGATTAATTCCACTTTGATGACAGTCATTTTTTGGTTAAACAAAATGCTTTTTTTAAAAAAAAAATGTAGAAATCAACAACATTCTAAAAGATCTGAACTTAGCACAGCCCCATTCTGTATTATACGAAGTTTCCAAGGATTCAAAAATTTGCCTTACTATTGAAATAAAAGATGATCTTACTGATCATTGTCATCCATATCATCTTTGTCCCAATCACTTAAGATGGAACAGTTATTTCAAATCCTCTAATAGCTGATAATAAGTCTTGTAAAGTCTGCAGTCTTTCTGGAAATTCCGAATTATGACCACCCTATAGCCAACACATAGACACCTGAAATAGTTTAAAAACTACTAAGATTGAGTACCTCAGATAAGTTCCATTCCCCTTGCTCTACTTAATTAGTAGAAATAAAAGCCTGTAGTACAGGGGTCTGCAACCTTAAACATTCAAAGAGCCATTTGGACCTGTTTACCACAGAAAAGAAAACACTGAGAGCCACAAAACCTAGGTGGGCGTGGCCAACTCAACATGGAGGTGGCGAAAGCAAGTTGCAAGTGTAGAGCTCTGGCCTGGCCCAGCTGCGGCTGATGCTGCTGCTCTCACTACCTCCACGGCCTGCTCACTGCTCTCACAGTGCCTTGTGCAGCACACTTAAATTTAGCGCGCTTCACAATGGGGGAGACAGCATCCCCTCCTCCTCCTGGAGCCCATTACAATGTGGAGCATTGGTCGCAGCCGGGCCAAGCCAGTGTCTCGGGTTGAAGAGAAAGCCGTGTGTCTCCCCGAGCGACCGAGGTGCACGCAGCACCAAGAAATGCCAGAAGAAGCGCCCGCTAGATGAGAAGCAAGAACAGGGGCGCTTCCCTCCCATTCTGGAATATGGAGTGAGTTTCCAATCCCGCCATCACCCTTACCTTCTCAGGCCACATGAGCAGTGACTGGGAGGGTGAGGGGCGGGGCCAGTCATCCGACAGGGAGCCACAGCAGGGGGACAAAAGAGCCGCAGGTGGCTCGGGAGCCGCACGTTGCCGACACCTGCTGTAGTAGAAGTTCTTGAAATAATATGTTGTCCATTTATATCCTTGGTGGCAGATTCATTGCAAAGGACTTTTAAGTTTAAGATTCAAGAGTGCATTTTTCTTATTGGTTGGTGATGTCACTAGATGAGAGGCAAATGTTAAGACTTCTTGTCTTTCTTTGCTGCTATCTACCACTCACTTAGAGCTTTGCAGCCAGAAAAACTTTTTTAAAAAAGTCAGATTTCTGTAGCCCAATTTTCACCCAATATCTAACACTTCTAATTAATTAATTCTGATCTGCACTCTTCTAATTAATTTCACCTGCCGCTATACAGGCTGGGAGAAATACATTAATAATTGCTCCCAGCAGAAGTAATTAAAGCTTTATATTTTTATTCCAAATTTAAAATTGCCAATATGACAACGTTCATCACTTAGTTGAGCCATGCCTTTAAAGTATGAGCGCCAACAGTAAGAATATATAAGCAGTAACGAAGAGGTTAGAAGCTGGCTGTTCCCAAATGATATTTGCTAGTCACAAGACATTATTTAAAGCAGTGGTCCCCAACCTTTTTATCGCCGCGGCCCGCTGAGCGCGCGCAGGGGTGGGGGCACGGCCCAGGAGCTTTTGCGTACAGCCCATTGCGCACGGCCCAGGAGCTTTTGCGCACGGCCCAGGAGCCTTTGCGCTGCAGCGTTCATGTCCCCCGGCCGCTGCGCGGCCCGGTGCCAGGTACTCCACGGCCCGGCACCGGTCCGCGGACCGGGGGTTGGAGACCACTGATTTAAAGCATTTCTTTGCTGCTTCCCACTAAAAAATGTTGAAGAAGTTTAAAAAAAAATTCAAATAATGAAAATGGTAGATTAAAATACTGGGAAAGAATAAAATGATTAAAATATTCTTAAAAATACATAAGCGATGAAATAAGAAAGAGGTAGCGATAATGTAAAAACAGCAATAACATCTGTTTATCAGTGTGTGAGTCGGTGGTGAAATCCTCCGAGGTCTGCCACTGATTCGCTGTGCGCGCATGTGCAGTGCACACCAAACGTGCGCTTCATGCCAGTGGTGGATTGCTCCCAGTTCAGTCCGCTTCTATAGAACTGGTAGTAAAACCAGTGGGAGTCTCCACCCACCCACTACAACGTCATCATGGGTGATCTGCGCATGCGCAAAAGCTTCCCATTGCGTGCGCGCTCCCATTGCGAACCGGTAGTAAAGGTAAGTAGAACCCACCCCTGCTTCACACGCATGCATACCGCAGGCACTACTGTGCAGCACTGAAAAAGGAAGCTTAAGAAGTAAGTAGAACAGCGAGGGGGGGAACAGCGATTTAGATTCGCTAGAAAGCAGGATTTCCTGCTTCCTAGCGAATATAAATTGTGCAGCACACCAGACGAACTGGTGGCATTTTTTTACTACTGGTTCGCCTGACCCGGTAGTTTTTATTACTACCAGTTCGCCCAAACTGGTGTGAACCAGTAGCATTTCATCCCTGGTATGAGTTGCCCAGAGTCATATATACGAGACGGCAGCTATATAAATTGAATAAACAAATGAATACATGTTTATCAACCTTTTAGACAAAAGCCAGGGAAGTGGGGAAAAAGATCTTTGCCCACTGCTAAGAAGATAATGTGAAGGGCACCAGGCATACCTTCTTGAGGAGGACATCACAAAGCTGAGGAGATATTACTGAAAAGGCTTGCTCTTGGATAGCCATTTACTCAGAATGAGAGGATAACTGGAGCAGCCTGAATACACTGTATGCTTCATCTAATCAAGGCTTGCTCGTACAGGAAAGAGCTAGAAGGGACCTTGGACTTTGAGGTCTTCTAGTTCAACCTCTTGCTCAAGCAAGAGACCCTTCAGAGCTTCTTGGGTGAGAAGCAAAACATCTTCAAAGAAAAACCAGAAAGTCCAGTTGCTTCTTGAAAAAGCACCTTTGGGACAATCATGATCTGGATGACTGAGAGTCTCCATAGACAAGAGACCCAATACCAGTGATGGCTAATCTTTTTGCCGTTGCGTGCCAAAAGCGGGGGGAGTGCGGGGAGGTTGCCCACGTGTGTGCCCACACCCATAATTC